TTTTAACGCATTTGCCAAAACTATGACAGTGTCCACTATAAAACACAGTGAAATTGCAAATTTTTAAAATCGTTATCTATGAAAAATTGGCAGCCGGTTAGTCATCAATAATTACCTAAACAAAAAGTTTTTTCTTTTATATCTGGTACCAATGAAAGCAACTTTTTTAAGCATCGTGGTGTAATTTTACCTTTTTTGTGGACATGAGAGAACCCTGGGACTAACCGGGCCAGTTGAAAGCAAACAGAAATATTGCGATGACTCAACAGATTTTTCGGAGGCATTTATATGGTAAATAATTCATTTCTTCACATAAAAAGCACGTAGAGATATCGTTAAATATTTGGACCTTGAATGTTTCTAGTGTGGCAAGCAATTTTGGTCTGTGAGAGGTTTGAATAATAGACCAAGTTCTTTACAGACTCCACTCTTGCGGCGTCAGACAGCGGCTGGCAACCCGGCGCTGCCACAGACAATCTCCCGCCTCCACACATGGGAAACATATCGTACGATCTTACTCCATCTCACAATCTCACAGGTCTCATTTTGCTTAATATTTGATACATAGTGCAATGGAGATTTGTTTTTCAACTTCAGAATTGAGAATCACGAAGAAAAAAGAGCGTTTTATTTACATTATTATGACCGTTTGCTGTTGAAAAGCAACAAATATTGAGGAAACTGCAACCGAAATTGTCGCCAATTCTTACCTGGATGCATAACTGGGGGGCAGAGGCCCCCCCCCCGACCCTCAATTTATAAGTTAACCAATTATAACCTAACCAATAATTATAACCTCACCAATCATAACTTAACCTAACCTTTGTGGACATGAAAAACAGACCTCACCAACCTAACCAAACAAACTTGCCTAACCTTACCTAACTTACTTAACGGGGGTTCTGCCCCCAGGACTCCACGGTATATTAAGCAGAAATAACTTACTATGATATGGTGTAATTTTACGTTTTTTGTGTACACGACAGCAGCCGCCTGCATCGACTTGGATCCAGCCCGGGCGTCAGTGTTTTCAAGTACGTCATATACAACAGACATTGCACACAAACCAAGTTCACTTTCACAGTATTGCTGTGAAAAGTCCTTTTTAGAAAGTTGTTTATAAATAAAAGTACAATAGTGGGTTTAATCTTGACATTTTCAAGCCAAGTTCCTTTATAAGCACTAGAACTGTACCACAAGACTGGCAAGAACCTTCACACACCATGTGCTAAAATTGAAACTGGCGCGGCAAAGAGCTTGGCTTCATTACCGCCGGGAAGACAAAGTAGTGCTCGCCTAGGCCCCTAATTATCTACGAAACGAAGCATTTGCACAAGAAATGATTATCATATTAAAACTCACTGATGAAAATAAATTATGAAAATAAACAGTAAAACAAATAACACGTCCTCGAGTCAGTCGTCAGAATTAACTCATCTGAAAGAACAACTTAAATTCAACTTCGATTTCGTATAGTAGCAACAAGTGAAAATTTACCCTGACTTCCGTAACAAAAATCACTTTCAGGTATTAATCATTTCCACGACACATTACAATATTTCCTAAATTGATCAGAACATCCTGACTCTAAACATATTAGTGTAACAACAGTCAAGGTCCAAATATTAGCCCGGACAGGTGATTTATGGCCATAAAGAAAAACTAAAAATTAAATTATTTTTTTCTAATCTTCTAAATTATTACCAATAATTTACTTACAATCAAAATAAAAGGTGTAGCCCCTTTTATGGTACTTAATGCAAGGATGAGAACATATGGAAAAAAATTAACGAAATCGAACAACTTGGTGGTATTGTTGTTCTCAGAAATAACTATTCTAATTTCTACGTATAATAACTTCTACTTATAATAAAAAGAAATTCCTTATCTGGCAGACCTCCTGGAGAAGTAGTGTAATATTAATCTTCTGGTAGTGTGTTACGTCTTATTAAATCGGCAAAATATACCAACAGAATTATCAACACGACAATATTGCCCCTTGCTAACACCTGACAAGCGCTGGAGGGTGTTGACTGTTACCAACTTTAAAATAATTGGTCCTTCATAAAATATTTGATTTATTTTCTACAACTGTGCAGTGAGTACATATAAAATTTTGTTTATAATGACTTAACTACTTATGGTATATAAAATATTATACCAAATTGTTGCCTGTAGTTTTTTTCAGTATTATATGTTTGATTACCAACGACTTTGATAACCCTATATACTCGGTGAAGCATCACGGCCGTGTGACATGTGAAGTTGACGAAGAAACAAGTGAAGCACCAGAGATATAACTTCACAATAAACATACATTGTCGTTTTTATGTTAGCTTTCTTTATCGTTATATGATAGTATCTTAAGGCATAAACAGCAATAAGGACAAATTTAATAGCTGATTTCAAACTTTTCCTTCACAGTATTTAACGTACATCTGTTAACTCGTGCTGATAACGAAAATATGAGAAAGCTCCTTGAGCAGGGGCGGATCCATGGGGGAGGGGGGGGGGTTCCTCGGGGTCCGCACCCCCCTTTTCATAAGAAAATTCCAATACTCTTTCCTTGATGTAGTTTTGTATTCCTAATATTAAGTGCACATGGCTTCAAAATGGCCTCAAAAGCCTCCCCCAGGTGGGTGGGCTCTCTGTTCCCCCCCACCCACAACTTCTTTTGATATTCCTGGATACACTCCCGTTCAGAGAAGCTTTTATATAACTATGACACTGAAATTCATAGCTTGTGTGTAGGTACCGAGATGTTATCAGCTCACATTCCTATCTTGACTGTTACACTGGATTTGTCCAGTCATTATTGATTCATTGACAGGTGATCTAAATTTCCACTTTCATCCCGGATTCGAGTCCGGGATGAATGTTTATTATATCTGTTGGTCATCTCCATTGCCAAGACAAGATGTTGCCATTGCCATTTTATTCGATATCTGTCCAAGAACAACAGTAAATATTCATTCCTGTATTACCAGAAAACCATCCCGGTGTGACGAGCTGAGATTGTACCATGCTGAAAATGTTCTCGGCATGAGCAGTTCAATCAAAACATAATCAAAGGCGTGAGGCATGTTGAAATTACCTTTTGGAATAAAAGGAAAGGCTAGGGTTTGATCGAACTGCGCCAGCCCAGAACACTTTCAGCACGGTACAATCTCAGGACGTGACACGAGCTGTTTTTTTTTTGTTTTTTTTTTTTACTGGGTTGAGCCCACATCGGGGCCTGGGGGGCAAAAATGTAGTAATAATAGTAATAATAATAACAATAATAATAATAATAATAATAATAATAATAATAATAATAATAATATTAATAATAATAATAATAATAATATTATTAATAATAATAATAATAATTATAATAATAATAATAATAATGAAGAAGAAGAAGAAGAAGAAGAAGAAGCAGAAGAAGAAGAAGAAGAAGAAGAAGAAGACCAAATAAAAATGAGAATCAAGAGTGAGAAACAATATATGTATGTTGTGTTGTCAATAGTAAGAGAAACAATTTGAGACCCTGCAAGTGTGTGTAAATGAGGCAGAAAGACAGATCAGCAACCTGGAACTTGGTCACAATTTTTTTGGTCTCATATGGCAGCAGGGTCTACCATTATACAACACATTATTCTTCCAATATCTTCCCAGGCGGTAGTACCTCCCTGTTTGGTAGTTGCCTCCTACCCACTCACCTCACAGGTAGTTGGTACTAGGCGTCAGGATATCACCAACTTCATCATAGATAGCTATATTTCATGTGTTTCTCTAATAATGGGTGTTTACTTCCGTACAGTTAATGTTTTTTTTATTTATGGGGAATAGCCCACCAGGGTACAGGTCACCAACCACAACGGGGCCCGGGGCTACCATTGTCAAGGTAATATTGTTAATAATTTCTGAGAGAAACAAACGTCAAAGATTATTGTATTTATATTAACTTTTAATTTAGTATTTGAGATGAATATATTTGACTGAATACTAGAGTACCAACCAAAAGAATTATCATTGAATGTTTGATTGTGGAAGAGCTTGCCCTGTAAAGTTCCTTCCTCACACAATACTACTGTACTATCAAGACGTGCCATTAAGTCTGATATACAAGTTTTATTAAATGTTGACAGTTCACTCTTTCTCATCAACAGTGTTCCAACAATAATTTTCATTTTAGAACTTTAATCCAAACACTCCTTGAGCCTCGCCCCTCAGCACCAGTCATTGCTCCTCCCTCAATAGTTACATCATGCTGGTATTTTCCTCCAGTCTTCCAATAGTAAAATCACAAAATTTTCCTTCATTCGCCGTCATTCACAGATTCTTAATAAGGTGCCTTTTGTTGTGGTATTATCCACTTTCAAGGCTTTAATATTTTACTCCTATATTCTCTTTATACATTACAGTTCATTATTGTCCTACAGGGCATAAGGTAAAATTCTGAGGCGTTTGAAACTAAATGCCTCAGTCATTGCTCAAGGGTTCAGTTTATAATGTTAGGTCCATCTCGTGTCTCAAGTGTTCCTAACATTCTTTTTCTCACTAACCTCTAGCTGCATCCTTCTTCATAAATTTATCTATTTCTTGAGGCGTTACATTACTTACTATAATATATATATATATATATATATATATATATATATATATATATATATATATATATATATATATATATATATATATATATATATATATGAGACCTCGTATTTATTTATTTACATCTGCACTATATATATTTATCGGCAGTGTTGCTATCATCCACAATTTGATAATTTTTCTTGTTTTGCTTCATCAACCCTGACTTGAATCATAAACCTTTATTTAGAAACAGTTGCAAACCACATATCAGATCAGGTGGGTTCAAGCCTAAAAGCAACCGGCCAAAACTCTAATGAGGAAGACATTTAAATTGTCATGGTTTCTACTGGTTCATTAAGTATCTTCACGTCACGTCTTGTCTAGTTGTTTTCAGGTGTTAGGAAACAAGAAAATAGACCTTGTCCTCTAAACAGTTTATTGCCAATCTACACAACAAGCCTATAACATGGCAGCCAAGTGAGTTGCTACTGGGTCACAGTAAGGTGGTATAAGAAGTAGTTGCAGCAGCTTCGTAACCTGCTAATAGCATATCTCACTTGGCCTTCTTAGTATGCTGGCACTGGTCAACAAACCAAAGTGGTTCTTGTAGTCGGGCCAAAATGATGGAAGTTTTAGCAGCAGCAGTATGGCACCTGATCTACAAAATCCACTACGATTTGCCAACCAAACCAAAATTTTTGGAAAATAAATAAGGTAACACAAGAAAAAGAACAATAGATATTTCCTTATGCAAGCACTCAGCCGACTTAGGTAAGTTCGCATATCACAGTACATTCACAACAAAACAGCTAAGGGTCATACAGTGTGTAATTGAGTAATGATACACTGACATTTGAACATTCGCGTTCAGATACTAATATTCATGATTATACATAATCCTGAGTCGCGGTCAGACAATACAATGACGTATTTATACAGTACACAAAAATAGGGATTCATTTATCAAAGTCGTTGAGAGTTGTACAGCCACAAGATTTTGGTCCACGGGTTGGAATCTCGGCTTATAAAGGCAGCAGTAAAATGTTTTAATTATTACATCATAAGCCACAGGTAATATCACAGCTGGAAACTTCCGGGTCTTTTCTTACTTTGTGCACAGGTGAACATCTCAGGGTAATGATGATGACTTTGTAAAAACAAGACCAGAGCGAAAGGTTCCCACTGGGACCTCCAGGACCGAATACCTTATGGCGAACAAGTCTTCTCTAATGTGCGGCCTCCGGCACCCCTCATATACGAGGACACCTGGAGTCGTAACAGTAAACATAGTCGAGAATCACTGAAAAATCTTATGTTCATCAGTAAATAGTAAATACAACTTCAGTTCGCAAAAAAGGGCTTTCTCCATAACAGGAATGAGAGTGGACACCAATCCATGACCTGTCCATAAATGGGGAGAGTATTCTCCATATTCGGTAATATACATTAACAGAAATTAACAAATAAAAAGTATATTTTCAACAATACAGTATTTAAATAAAGGACTCATATTTAAAAATTATAATAAATATATTTAAGATATAAAGTATTATTTTTTCTCGTCAAATTTCTCCATGCCACGATGCCATACTTTGAAGAAGTACTCGTCCCTATTGAGGAGACGACCGCGAGCATACGAGTAGATATCAGCATCCATGCCGGCTTCCCGCATCCACGAGAGGGTCTCTGTCGTAGAGTATGACAGCGAGGGGGCGTTGTCATCCTCGGGCAACTCCGTGAAGTCTGCACCAAGGACCAAGTAGATTACAGGGATACCCAGATGTGCAACCGAACTCCACCACAGCATTATACAGTAAAGTATAGTCAAATGATAGGTAATCACTGCTTCACCACATAAATGGCTTATTTGAACCCAAAGTCTTATAATGAAGAATGAAATTTAAGGGGAAAGTCGAAATAGTGGAAAATACGTAACATTAATATTATATTAAATGATTAGTTAGCAAGCATGAACGGCACTTTTTCTCCCAAGTCTCGCAAATCTTATTAGAACCTGGACCAAAAAAAATCAGTGATTAGCAGTCAAGACAAGCAACGTTCAGGATATACTGTCAAATTCCTACCTTAAATTTAGATATTTTATATCTTTCAAAATATAAAAACCTGATCACATCTGCACAAGCAAAACACATACATAAACATGCAGTTACATTTTATTACAGGTATTTTCAATGCAAAATAATTATCGTACTCTTTTATAATTAACAACTATCAATTTCCTTAGATTATAAATTTGGATATGTTAGCTGTGGATGAAAGCAACTGGACAGGAGACGTGACACACTTTCTGTTCTTTCCTAGTATTTTTTTTTTATTTATTATTAATGAATAATTATTAGCTGAGCTGCATCCAACAATGCTGGTAATTTTGACCTTCATTGCTAGTAGGCTGGATGGGTGAGGGCATTGGAGGAAGGTGGCTTTCTTATATCTTAACAGTTAATAGAGTTGAGTCAGCATCGCAAAGCGTTCATATATGTGTCTTCACCAAGCACACAGAGGGCTCATTAGTTAACAGTAAGTTGAGCAGCAAATAAATATATACCCTAATTATAAAACGTTGTCTGTAAATGTTTGTTTATAATCATTAGTAAACTGAATTTTATGAAGTGCAAACTATAAAAACATGCATTCTATGTAGGACAAAATATATTCGACTAATGAACTGACATATATTACAGAACAAACATATTAATAGAAGGAACAGTTAGGTTATTAATGAAGAACTAAGTACAAGGGGATGTACAGGTGAAGGACCAGAGACAAACATAAAAGGAATCAAAATTATACTGTACGAGGAAAAAGTAAAATAGAGAGTAACCTGGACAATGGTAGAGGAAATACACAAAGAGAAAGAACTGAAATGTAAACAGAGTAAAGGAGGATCATGACTAGTTGGGACAAAAAGTAAAAGGGGGAGGAGGAGGGGGCAGAGGAACTTGGTGTTGTGAAAAACTGACGGGAGAAGAGGGATTAAATAAGCATGAAAAGAAAGGAAAAGAATAACAAGGCAAATAAGACATTTGAACTAAGTGTTACAACTAAAGAGATAAGAATATAAATGGTCTAAATTAACTGAATTAAAATAATACAGTTGATGCTGAATTGCAGATATCCAAATAAGGAAATATGAAAGTATTAAATAGAAACGAAGTAAAATGAGACACACGAGAGAGATGGAGAACACATAACACATGCCATGAGGGGGTCCTGCTGAAGGTGCACTTACCGGCTGGTCTGATAACCTTGACTGCCTCCTCGGTCTCCAATGGGTCACTAGCACCCACTTCATTACGAGCGAACACTCGCACGCAGTACTCGTGTTCCTCCTAGACAAGACAGATACACAATTATTTACAGTTAGGTATTCGTTCACACTGTGGTTATAAATATATATTCACATTTTCTTGGTATACGTGGGTGTTCTGCAAAGGTATTCCCATTAACCCTTTGGCTGCGGGAGACTATAGAGATTTACCCAATTTACCCTTATAATTTCACACAGAAGTACATCAGCCAACAGCAGTCTGCCAGTTCCTTAAAGCCATTCGCCGACACACTCCCCAGTCACATACCACTGCTCCCTAGATGTCTATTCCCCTCACTTTAGTACTTCCTTCCAACCATCCACCTCTGAATTGTACACTCTTTCGTTCTGACAATCTGTTACTTCTCATTATCTCAATATGTCCAAAAAGCCTTGAAGCAGCCCTGGTTAGTGCTCTGGCCAACACTCTCTTCACCTCCACGTCTCCTTATTCTCGTGTTTCTTAATTTTCACATTCTGTTCATCTCACGCCCTGCTTCTTCCCCTTGCATCCAGTCCATGCTTCACGCCCATGCAATGTAACCACTTCAATCATTGTCTCCGATAATACAATTCCTTTTCTCCAATTACTTTCTTTCTCTCAGTTACTCTATGGTTCATCACCCACTATTCCACTTACTGACACATTTACTTCCACATACCTGAAACAACACACCTCCTTCATTTTTTTTCCCAGGATAAAATTAATTTCTCCCCGTCTTACTTCTCTTACTATTTTCATCATTTTGTCTATATTCAGTATTAACTTTCTCCTACTAAACATTCTTCCAACTTATTCACTAAGATTTAAAAATTTTCTAAATCACCCAACATCACTTTGTCACCTGTAAAAACCTATTGACTCACCTCCCATTTACATCACTTATTCCTATTACTAAAAGTATCGTAATTCGATACATAGATTCTCTTAATTCTAACTTATCCAATTTCTTGTATAAAGGAAGCCCATATTTGTTCTCATTTACAAGATAATGTATTTTAAATGTGTGTGTGTGTGTGTGTGTGTGTGTGTGTGTGTGTGTGTGTGTGTGTGTGTGTGTGTGTGTGTGTGTGTGTGTGTGTGTGTGCGTGTGTGTGTGCGTGTGTGTGTGTGTGTGTGTGTGCGTGTGTGTGTGTGTGTGTGTGCGTGTGTGTGTGTGTGTGCGTGTGTGTGTGTGTGTGTGTGTGTGTGTGTGTGTGTGTGTGTGTGTGTGTGTGTGTGTGTGTGTGTGTGTGTGTGTGTGCGTGTGTGTGTGTGTGTGCGTGTGTGTGTGTGTGCGTGTGTGTGTGTGTGTGTGTGTGTGTGTGTGTGTGTGTGTGTGTGTGTGTGTGTGTGTGTGTGTGTATCTATATCACCTAAAATTTATGTTTCCTCATACATGTCGTCAGTAAACTTCAGCACCGACTCACCTGTAGCTCCTTAATGTGTAACCTGGTGAAGTTGGCTCCGACCTGACCAACTTCAATCCACATCGTTCTCTTGATGTCTCTGATGGCAATAATGTAGCCGAGCAGAGGCGCTCCACCGTCGCTCTCAGGCGCTCCCCATTCAATCATCAGACTGTTGGGGCCAGTAGGACGCACCTCCAGAGGTGCAGTTGGTGGTGAGGGAGGAGCTGGAGGCACAACAGAAAGATAAGTGACTTGCCTCAAGAAAGAGCTTTGTCATTACTATGATAGACTGATCCATTTATTTCAAGAATACTTTTGTCTACAAGGCTACTAAGGGCTCCAGTCGTGTAACTAACTGATAGTGGTGCGTGATACCCCTGCATTGTACTTTCCTCTAACCATTATTCAAATATATGGAATAATATGGACCACGACACAATCTTTTTCATCCAGGATTTTTTGTTTTAATTTCCTGCTTAATGCCGAGTGCCCTACATTCCCTGTCATTTAGTCATTCTTACTAATGCAATAGCTGAACCTTCTTTACGAGGATAGTCCCTTTCTACGAAAACGCCCCTGTAATTACAGTTCTTTCATAATTATGTGTGCAATGTTGAAATACAAACTGCCCTCACATATCATTATAAACACATCAACAGTAATATGCTAAATACTGTATTCCTCTCTCCCGCTTAGAAAATATAACCAAGCTTGCAGTCATTCCCTGGCAGCCAGTTGTAAGTGCTGTTGCTATTTCCATCTATTTCTGTGGTTCAGCATCTAGGGTCTTTAAATAAGTACTCTTAGTAAGTCGATATACTACACAACAACTCTTAACAATTAAAGAAGGTAATTCTTCCTATTCTGGAGGTGACTTACTGGCGTGAGTCTTTAGCCTGACTTGTTCTGTCATGGCGGCCTCTAAACTGAGACCAACAGGGTTCTCGGCGAATACTCGGAACTCATACTCGGACTTCTCCCTCAGGTTCTCCACGCAGTACAAGGTGACGGAGGCGTCGACAGTGTCCACCTTCTCCCACTTCTTTTCTGTCGTTAGTCGCCGCTCTATCACGTAGCCTGAAGTGGTCAAGGTTATATATAACATATGCTTTCTTAACCTGACATACTTGTCAGTGTCAAGAATAGAGTAATAAATATAATCATTTTGTTCCTCCGGTTAACATTTATGCTCAGGTGATATATTTAATCTGCTCAGGTGATTTCTTATATAATGTTGATAATTAAGCTCCAATTGGCGAGTATGTTGATAATGCATGTCTCCAACTATTACTCACGGGACAGCTTTCCCTCACTGTGTGGATATATAACTCGCAGGCGACATTGTTTGAACCTACTCAGTTACTGAATATGAAAAAGTCATTAACAAGTAAATTTATATTTCGTCATTGCTACATTTATCTCCAAAATTCTTTGCTTAAGCTCATAACATAATTCAGAGTTGTATTTGAAACAAGTTGTGGAGTGTCATGGTTGATGATCTTACCCATAAGGTCAGCTCCTCCAGTGGTTGTCGGAGGCGCCCAGGCGAGAGTGACGGTCTTGGTGGTCACGTCGATCACTTGTAGACTGTTAGGCTTGGACGGAGGAGCTACATAAAGAGAACGTAATAATAATGTATGGGACACTTAACGTTAGGTGAGTGGCCACATTTTGATGAACAGAAGTTATGAACGGCTAACAGTGGAGCCATGATGATTGTGAGGCGGAGGTTGAATTATTGCTGTTATTTTGTCAATAAGGAATTTCTTTTCATGATTATCATAGGACAAATTTGTGATAAACAACAGATTATTTAAGATTATTCTCAGGTAAGTAAGCGTCTAAATAATAATTGTCCGCTAAAATGTAATGGACTGCATATTTTAAACATTATTAGCACTCACATTAGTTATAAAAATATAAATATTATCTAGATGAACAGAAGCACTCCTGTAAATCACTAGATTTAAAAGCGAATCAAAAACAAGAATACAATACCCTCAAAGCAAAGCAGCGAACACGTAAATTAGAAATGTCGGTTAAAGCAAAAATAAGAAAAGAAAAAACAACACTCCTTGGCATAAAGATTAGACAAATTCACTCTCCATTATCGGGTTAATAAAGCTCGATCACGGCTCCATGAAGCTTCCAGTACATGACTTACTTAAATGTTTGTACCTCGTAACATAACTTGGCAAGGAAGGTGAAGTACGTGAGAAAAACTGAGGATGAGATACGAGGCCTTATGTCAAGACACCGTATATACTAGGAGAACAAAGAGGTAGCTTGCCCATATGGAATCACCGGTGCTAGCATTGTGTCCCCTCCGAAGTGTCTCGCTTGATTAGTTCAGTTGTAGCACAGTCCCATGTGTTAGTTGATGTATATTAATAGCAACACCGTAATATCTCATTCAGAGTATGCCAATGTTTTCAAGACAAGAATTGGACCAGCCTAAGAGATACCAAAGGCTGCCATTCCTCCTCGGTCATGAACCACACAAGTGCCAGTAAGTGCCCGGGTAAATCTGAGTGCGAAGTGATTTTCTTGACTGTCAACGTTACCTGTTGACTAATATATCTTACACATAAGGGTAATGTATGCAAGTATTTGGGAAAGTCAGAGAGAGAAAGGAATACAGAGATATAAGAATATGCAATCTGCAATGTTTGCATGCATGTCTTCATTGTAACAATACTTCATGCGTTCCTCAAGCGCAAAGGAGGGAAGGAGCCGGAACATTGTCCTCCTGATAGTGTGTGTGAACAAGTTGTTAATGTGGACAGTACTGTATCTTGACTTTTGTAAAGCACATGTTGTTTTAAGATCTTAGTTACATCGAAAGTCAAATTATGGTGACAGCATTTAATATAACAATAAATCTGATCACGCAGACTGTCAATTCTAAGCCAGTATGACACGTTGTTTTATTTGCAACAAACAATTGACGGCCAAACAAGATGTGTCACTGCTCATCATGTAGCAACAGGAGATAACTACAGTATTAGTCAACATGTTCTGCTCCTTCCCTTCTGGAACTTCCTCATGGATGCAACATGCTGCAGACCGGCATACTGAGACTTCCCATGGATGTCCAGGCTAATTTGCCATACAGGTACAAAAGGACCTTGATCATAGTGTGACGCCCCATACTAAGATATATTCACCGTAAAGCTAAAATCTTTTTGAATAAAATTACTGTACAATTATCAATCAAAACTTATCGGGAAAGAGATAATTAAGACTATGTAAAATGACACAAAATGAACTTCCTCTACATCTCTTACTAAGATCACAATATACTATACTGTAATTGTTTAATCCCCTAAAAGGTTATAAAGGACAGACAATATTTACCTTAATGCATAAAGAATCTCGTGAAATATTAAAAATAAGAAAGTATTTATCGCTAAATTCTGTACCAAATTTTCATTTCCAAGAGAAATCTATATCTACTTTAAATTTGGAATATTTTCTTTAGTATATTTACATTTCATTCTCAAATGTCTGCATCTATGAATTAGATTGCTTGATAATTCGCCTCAAACATTACTCATTTTTTTTCACAATTGGGTCTTCTGTTTGTACTGTAAGTTATGTAAAAACATTATCATTCTTACCGAGTTATTGGCCAGCGATCTGTGGTAGGTTATAGGCCGTGTATCTGTGAGGTGTAAGAGTTAAAGTGTTTTATATGGGATGACGGTCGCCTTACTCTGGCCCCCAGGTTCATTCATTGTTCAAGTTGCACGGCCTCCACCAGGATTAGACTGTGATGGTGACTATAAAATCTATCTAACTTTGTTACTCTGATGATAATTGATATAGTGCTGAAATTAGTGACTGTTTTAAAATGAATGTCAAGCCTGTAGTGTTAATGCAAGTTGGACTTGTACACTAAAGAGTATCTACTAAAGCAATGAGCATGAGAGGAAGGCTAGGGAGAGACAAGACCCATGGAGGAATGTCTGTGTCAACTTCTTAGCGGACCAGTGGGGGTCTCGGGGGAGTTACTGCCACTAGCCGCCACGGAGGTTGCAAGGTGTAGACAAAGACAGTGGCAGTAACTCCCCCGGCACTGAGTCTTCATGCTCGCCCCAGGTCATGCTGCCTCTCTACGGCGGTGGTGCTGCCACGGGTCAGCTACAGTGTATGGTGTGTTCTGGTCATGACGTCAGTTGTGTCTTGTGACGTGACCACAGTGTCATGTGAGGGCAAACGCCCTGCCGAACTTTCTCACAAAGCTGTGATTTATCCAGGCTACTTTATGTTTATCGCTGATACTTAAACCAGTATGATGATGTAGTTTACTAAATTATAATTTGTTTTATGGATAGAAAATTGATTACGACAAACAGGTAAGTGTTGAGTAATATATCTTATCGGCAGAGCGAGTGCATGGTTGTGTGTGCCCCCGGCTAGCTCCACGTGGGCAGTACCCCAGCCACGTGCTCTACTCACTGATCTTCTTGCCTGCTGTGATCGGCTCTTCCGGTTGCAGCGGTGGACTTTGGCCGACTGCATTATATGCATATACCCTGAAGTAGTAAGATGTTCCCTTTTTCAAGCCAGTGACTTCTATTTCTGTAACAGTGGATGCCGTCTGGCCGACCTTGGACCAGGCCTTTTTGGTGGACTCGCGTTTCTCCAGTACGTAGTGAGTGATGGAGGAGCCGCCATCAGAGTCGGGTTCATCCCAGTGTAGTAGTAACGATGACTCAGTAATGTTGCTCACATCGAAGGGCCCAATAGGTGGTCCAGGTTTGTCTGGAAAATTAGAGACGTTAAGAAAGGAAATGCCTCAACTCAGATTTGAATACCATCTACATATTGTAAACATGAACAGTACGAGTGAGTAAAGTATCAGTTTACCACACACAAAACGTGTACTTACCGAAGGGACTCTTAAGAATGATTGTCTCTGAAACCTCCAGAGAGTCAGAAAGACCAAAGGCATTAAGAGCAAACACCCTGAAGAAGTACTCGTGGCCATCCAGCAGTTCGGTTACCGTGTACGTTCTCACATCTGGACCAACTTCGGCCACCTTATGCCATTGTTTTTGTGACTTCTCCAGTTTCTCGATATAATAGGACGTGATCTCCATTCCTCCGTCATATGGTGAGGCTTGCCAAGTGAGATTAAGGGAAGCAGAACTCACGTCGCTCACAACAAGAGGACCCATAGGTGCGGCTGGTCGCTCTGTTAGGGAAGAAGATTGTTACTAAATCTTGTCATGGTTTTTTGACATCCTTCAGAATACAATACTGTACTATTTTAAAGAGATACTGATTCTCTTATGCACAGTTCTTTACTACTACTACTACTAATACTACACACTACCAACTGTTCCATCTACAGACCTCTTCAGCAAAACATAATATATGAGTTAATGTAGCGAGTATCAGCCCCAGCAGAGAATATATTAAATTAACTGGTCAAGTAAAAGTCATTTATTTTACTCTTTCTTATAAACTTTGCGAAGAATTCCAACAAATTCGTCTATTTTCAAATATCTTAAAAGAAAATACACCAGATTTATTCTTGGCTGAAGAAATGAAGCAAATACAAGATGCAGTATTAGAGAAAAGAGAATACGTAAATAAATAGGAAAAAACGATTAAAAAAACTTATGCACCAAATAAGAAAAGAGACATGAAGGAAAATGAAAAAGATGAATGAATAAGCCAATAATGTGCACAATATATGCAAAGATAAGACTAATGACTGTGACTGAGGGACGAGGAGAATGTGTCAGTATCAGACGGAACACACTTCAGCTTCAGTGTAACAACAACAGAATTTAGGTACGATTAGCGTATGAATTTTGGCTTTAACGTTAACATCAATATTAAAAGGCGAGTGCTAGTGAACCTCGTATAATATAATATAATAAAAAGGTAGATTGCAGGGTTTTTTTTACTATTTATAATTTTTTTTCAAACAGTGCCTCTTGTTGTCATGATTGTGGGTGAGGATTATAGGCACCTTTATCACAATATGACATCAGTAATGGAGAATATTAATGTTCCGAGTTTACAGTTTAGGAACTCAAATAAAAATGGGTACTGTATTATACCTCAAGTACAAGAGTTACGACAGCCAGATGGATTTTAAAGGGTAGAAATCTTTGATATGGTAAATTGTATGTATTTATGTATTACTTTCAACAGTTAATTTACCATAATGGCATATCTATATATGTTTGGGATGATATAGAGAAACACTTTTAGTTTGTGATATGGTCTAGACTTTAAGTACAAGTGTTTTACTTAAAATCTGACACTGCAAGCTGGGACAAAGCAAGTTGGGGGGATGTTCTGTTGTTGCTGTTGGGGATAAAATGAACTGAAAGAATAATGGAAAAATAATATTAAATAAATAATAATTTGTAAGTTAGCTAGTGCAAAAATATATAGCTGCTGCACGAGTTAGTAAAAATGTGTGTTGCATGTTGATAGTTATTGCAATAAGTTGGTAGCATTGTTGAGGTATAAAAATGGCAACACTTGTGGAAACATGTTGTCTGGTAACATGTGGTACAGAATGCAGGTTGGTAAAATTTGTAAGGCATTTAAGTTGGTAAGACTTGTACAGCATGAAGGTTGGCAACACTGTTAGAGCATGACTGTAACAACGTGTGCTGGTGTTATTACCCCTCTTGACTTCTTCTTCAATGACCTCAAGAGCGCAAACTTGGTACTCCTTCTCTTCCTCTGGTTGGTGGTAATGAAGACGTGTGTTAGGAGAAGGTGGTGTATCATAACAGTTGAGAGAGAGAAGTTAAAGCTACAAGGTTCTATTGACAGTAAACAAATAGTGTAAATACTGTACTGACTTCAGCTTCACTGACAAATGTTAATTATACTCTTCAAAGACAAGAAACAGAACAGTAATATAAAGAGTTAGTTCTGAGTCATATATTAATTATTATTTATTCTGTGTTAATAAAATATACAAAACCTTTCACCAGAATGATTAACGGTACTGAGCCAAGATTTCCTACTCTCGGCCATTTTGTGATAAATAATTATTAGTTAATTGTATACAAATAAGACATTTCACTAGCGTAAATATTGCAAATATTTATCGTCGTGATGTTTCATGGAAAAGACACATTTTGTGGCGCCAAAGACTTAAACACTGTAATGCTAAATAGATTCGAGGTTTGAATACGACCCTGGAAAATGACCAAAGACCTACCGACGACACGCAGGTTGAAGCTAAGTTGTGATCTGCCGGCGGAGTTCTCTGCGGTGAGAGTGTAAACAGCGGAGTCCTCTAGGGCCAGCTTGTGGATAGCGATGTCTGTCGATCCCTCGGACTCGTCTATGTGGATCACAATATGCGGCGTAGACTGTAGGAAGATGTGTTTTGGATGTTACAACATGAGATACTTTATACATCATCTAAAATTGTCGTATAAAGTGCAAAATGATGATAATATTTGAAGTGTCGTATTAGGGTTCTAGTTGACTTGAAACTGTTTATAGAAGCTGTGTGTGTGTGTGTGTGTGTGTGTGTGTGTGTGTGTGTGTGTGTGTGTGTAAAGTTGACTTTTGCAATGTATCTATGGGCTTTACAATAATTTACAGTACAATATAACAAATTTGGAGTATGTACAACAGACAAATGTGACAAATAAGATGCAAATATATGCAACGGGACAATAGAGTTTCAGCTAAGATACTGTACAGAATTGTGTATAATAGAAACAATTTCAGATATGTAATTTCACTAAACACTACTGTATATAATGTTAATTTCAGCCAATGAGACACTACATAAGCCTCATCCTAAGTATACTGCTTTATTTATAATTGCAAAAAATTATCAAGCATATAATGTTACTCAAATATAACAACATCTATTGAAAGGGTGAAAATATATAATTAAAAACCGTGATTTCCAATTAAAGGCAGAACAGAAAGTGGTATTTATTTCTAACCATTTGGATGTCTCACTCAGTAATGAAGGTGGCCAGTCAAAAGGGATAATGTATGACTACTTAAGCGATTCAAATGTAAGAAAGAGGAAACAAGAGGAAGGCCCAGATACACAAGTGTTTGGTCGTTGATGTCGGATATAATCCAAAAGACTTACCACGAGGGACTTTTCATTACGGGCCCAGGTAATCTTGGGTCGTGGATGACCAACCACCTGGATGGGCACGTGCCACTTCTCTCCAACAGTTAGACGCTGGCACTGTTGTTTCTCGTCGTACTCAAATCTGGGAGCCTCTGTATCAGAAACAAGAGAATATAAGTCTTGGTCTCGGATTTAAAACATTCAAACTTAACTAAACTTATGAAGTTAACAACCCTGTTTATTGTCAACCAAACACAAAGTGCCAATGACGGTATCTGTATTAAGCACAAAATAACTTTAAATAACAAGTATTCAGAAGATATTTGTAGATGAAATACGAGACGGACCTTGGATAACGACAGTAGCGGAGCACTCAGCCATGCCAGCTTCATTACTGGCACGACATGTGTACATGCCGCCAGAAGTCTCCATTGTTTCCTTGATGGTAAAGGTGGCTGTAAAGTTCTCATAACGTGTAATACCAGACACCGGCTTTCCATCCTTCGTCCATTCAATCTTGGGTGCAGGTGTGGCGGTGACAACACAGCGAAGGACGACCTCTTGGCGCAGGCCGGTCACCACAGCCTGTAGCTGCTCCTTCACCACCGGCGGCTCAGCAGTCACTGGTTCACACACCTGAATACACCAATAACGTCCAAAGTAGTTATACACTTTTTTATGGGATTCTAACATGTATACACCATCTTAAGAAACTATTCAGAAGAATTTGCAATCTCAATTTGACCGTTCTTATGACAGTACAACTTCATAAGACGAAAATGAATCCCCTCTATTCAGCAAAGGTAAGAGTAATGGATAATATAGTGCATAAAATGGATCAGTATTAGTGATACAAGAAACAAGTATCTGTCGTTATAAAATTCAGTCTAGGTTCACTGTTATCAGCTCACTACTCCCAGAACTTACCTTGACGTATCTGGAAGCATTAGACGCCTCAGATGTTCCAATTTCATTGACAGCAGACACCCTGAAGCAGTACTCCTCATGCGTGGTAAGTTTGGTGACGACAGTAGTTGACTCCGTAATCTTTTGTTGTTGATTGAATACAACCCACGTTGTTTCCTTCTTACTCCTAGAAATAGACACCACATATTGAGAATTAATTAGCTCTCTATAAAAAAAAATGAAAGTCTCCTTAAATTCACTATAGTTAATTATTGCAAACAATTAACACTATAAAGCAATTCATAAGAGTAAAGTGCATGTTGAAGTATTATGAAGGTGCAAAAGCAGACATAATAACCGTGGTGGAGCAACTTACATGTACTCAACAACATAATTGATGATGGTGCGGCCGCCATCCTCCTTTGGTATGGTCCAGTGAAGGGTGACGCTGTCGTTGGTCACCTTCATGGGCTCAGGCGTACCAGGTTGAGAAGGTTTGTCTGGCAGAGAGTTGGATTGTATTAGCGCATAAATAAACGCAACTTAACAACTATTACTAGATAACGAAGCTGACACGAACACACTTCCGGACACTCATATCTGTGATAAACACTTCAACCTTTCAAGGAGATATCTTACGAGACACGAGAACTACATATTAACTCTGAAAACCTGCCCAACACTGTACTGTATCTATGAACAATAACAACCTTCTCTCGAATTATGACATTATGTTTGAGTAAACCAATCTACGAGCAGAGAAAGTAAGGCATTACCCACCTAACAGCAGAGAAAGTACCCACCTAGCGACAGAGAAAGTTAGGACAGTACCCACCTAGCACCAGAGAAAGTTAAGACAGTACCCACCTAGTAACAGAGAAACCTAAAACAATACCTACCTAGCAGCTTGACGGTGAAGTCGGCATAAGCAGCACCACAGTCGTTGCATAGCTTGACCCTGTACTCCCCACAGTCAATGTTCTCTACCTGCCTAATGGTGATCGATGCCTCGAATTCAGATATGGTTGGCAGCAACTGTCAGGGATAGAAAAAATATATATATTAGAAATGTAATTTACATTTGACAGACACAAATACTTATGACATTATCATATACTTTGATCTTGTTCGCATTTTTTTCTCTCAGTAAATGTTTTTCATAATCAGAAACACGGATGCTTACTTTCTGACTGTGTTCTGTACTTAGAAGTTGGCCTGTGTGACATCCTTACCCTTGGTCACCACAACCTCTACCTTCTGGTGCTCCTTCAGGATCTTGGGAGCTGTCTCCATAACTGTAATTCACAGATAGGAATAAAAACCCATAAAATTATGGCCATAGAGTATTGAAATATATTAAATACTGTATTTGTGTTAATTATTGTACTCACTAAAACTGTGAAATATTTTGACTAATCATTAAACTATATACACATCTATCATGCTTTTCTCTCAACAATATATTCTTCATTAAAATTTCTCCATACTCACGGACAACATTCAGTACACATGAGGTCTTGAGGTTAGCCAGGACACATGAGTACTCGAAGGCATCAGCTTGAGTTACAGACTTAACAATGAGGATCCTCTTCTTACCCTCCTTCTTCATCTCGTACTTTTCAGAGGTACTCAGGTTTATACCACTCCTGTTGTTAGGGATGATATCGGTGAAGTTGTATGACTTGAGTTTATGTCATGAAACAGCTACTTTTTCATATACATATACAGAGTGATGAGTGAATTATATTGTACAATTTCAGATTTGAAGTTTATGAGAAAAATTATTAATTAATTACAACAATAACAAATACAAAATTCAGTCTCAAATAGTGAAGACTGGGTTGTTTACCTCAGCCATTTGACTTCATAGTCCTTTGTAATCTCCACGACGAAGGTGGCGTCCGTCTTGAAGTTTACATCCATCTGGGCTGGCAGCTTCTTCGAGAAGTCCCCTTCTACCTGAAGCTCAACCTGGATATAAACAGTTTTTGTTTTGACATTCACAACGCAACTCTGATTGTCATACGCAATATTTATATATATCCTAAGACAAAGTAAAGTGAAAGATACATCATATTTCTACTGAAGAGCATATAATTCAGCTAGACAGCTTTTAAGTAACATGACCATTGAACTCTACCTAAGACTGCAAAAATCTTTGTTGAAATTTTAAGAACTGAGGATTACTGTTGCTCAAAGAAGAGTTTGGTGTTCTTATCTATATTGCTTTACAACAGAGTAAGTGGTCAGGCCCTCTCACAATAGTACTAATTTATGCATCACACTGAGATGATTATCTGGATATACACCTTAACAACGTGAATGATATAACAATAACAGTAAGTTACATGTACAGTACAGTACCTTGAGTGTGGCGGAGCATTCACTCCTGCCCACCACAGCCCTGTACGTGCCGACGTCCTCAGGCTGGCAGTTGTAGACCATCAGTCTCTGCACCTGTTGATCACCATAAACAATGTTTTTAATCTACAAGCAAAGTTATGACACATTTAACTGCTATCTGATATAACTTTCTTTGTGCTAATACTCTGCTCTCAAGAGCTGAAGTGTCAGAGGCAGCGGGTCTAGAGCAGTACTTTGGTGTGAGTCTGGAGGACAATCCCCTCCCAGAAACTGAACAACCTTAACACAGAACTGAGTATGGTACAGCCTAACCCTCCTCTTTTCTCTTTGGATTTGCAATGGTTTCCAGAAACACGATTTTGCAAGGCAAAAAGAGGAAACGTGAAGAATCATTAAAGAGTACGGTCTCTGTATAGAACTAAAATCCAGATTGCAGATGAATCAGGGGATCTCACCTTGCCATCAATGGAGAGCTGATAGTGGTCAGAGAATCTGATTTCCTTACTGTCCTTATACCAGGTGATGACAGCATCACCCTTCGTCAACTCCACCTGTAAATTACGATCACAACATCAGTTTACCATAGACACCTATACTATACTATACTATACTATACTATACTATACTATACTATACTATACTATACTATACTATACTATACGGGGACATTCAGTATTTACAAACAATATTTAATGCAAAGTTTCTCATATGTATTTGCAGTAATACAAACACATGTTAAGAATATTACCAAGTAGCTACTCCATTGAAAGTTTGGATATGGTAAGTACTCACCTCCATAGTGGCCCTGTTGCCCTTGGAGACAACTTGGTCCTTCATTTTCCTCACTATCTCAGCAGGCAGCTCCCTGACGGTGAGCTCAGCAGTGCATTCCTGGTCACCCAGTACGCATGTGTACTCTCCTTCATCAGCGAGCGTGGCCTTCGGCAGTACCAACTTGCGGATATTACCCTCAGAGACTAACTTGAAGCGCTCGTGGTGCTCAGTAATTTCCTCGCCATCCTATTCAAGCAACAAGTTGGTGTTATCTAACTGATAAAATACATAGTTCATCCCAACCACAAAGAGCAAGTGTTACTTTACTATGCAAGTGAAAGTTGTTTAAGTTGTCGTAAAACTCTGTACTTAACGACCTCTTACTGTTTTACCATTAACAAGAAGTCAACAGGTATTCAGTTAGATGTTTTTAACCTTTCAAGAGACAAAGTCGTGTCTGGGTAACATAATTGTTCAAATATTTGTGCTGTTGTGTCCCCAAAAGTAACATCAAGTTATGTATTGGCATTCACATGAAAGTCAAATGTTCATGATTTACATAATATGTATATTAATAAACATATTATGTTTATTAATATAATCAGTTCTTATTGGGGAAGCATAAATAACCGGAGACCAACCTTGTGCCAAGTGACATAAGCCTTTTCAGTGGTGACTTCTACTTGTAGGACGGCTTGTTCTCTCTCCTGCACCTCCACGTCCTGAACCTTCTCGATGAAGTCATCAAGACCTGGTGAAGAATACCAAGATATATAAACCTAAACCTTTACTAAACCTCACCTTTCAACAAGATGATACATACATGATTCAAGCTCCACAAGACACCAATTTTATACTGAAATGTAATCAAACTTCAAAATTTCACAAAGAAAAAAAATTCAGTAGCCTTCAAGATTTTGAAACAAGGACATGTTGCCAATGTATTTTACTCACAACACAGTATTAAGCTATTGACTGACTCAAAACACAGTATAAAGCTATTGACTGACTCACAACACAGTATTAAGCTAATGACTGACTCACAACACAGTATTAAGCTAATGACTCACCCACAACACAGTATTAAGCTAATGACTGACTCACAACACAGTATTAAGCTAATGACTCACCCACAACACAGTATTAAGCTAATAACTGACTCACAACACAGTATTAAGCTAATAACTGACTCACAACACAGTATTAAGCTAATAACTGACTCACAACACAGTATTAAGCTATTGACTGACTCACAACACAGTATTAAGCTAATGACTGACTCACAACACAGTATTAAGCAAATAACTGACTCACAACACAGTATTAAGCTAATAACTGACTCACAACACAGTATTAAGCTATTGACTGACTCTCAACAGTATTAAGCTAATGACTCACCCACAACACAGTATTAAGCTAATGACTGACTCACAACACAGTATTAAGCTAATAACTGACTCACAACACAGTATTAAGCTAATAACTGACTCACAACACAGTATTAAGCTAATAACTCACCCCTGACATTATAATGCATTACATGAATGTTTTATACAGAACAAGTCTTCTTACCCTTGACGGTGAGGTTGCAGAAGGTAGACTGGGTGTCGAAGGTGCATTGGTACTTGCCGGTATCGTTGGTAGTGGCTGAGTGAATGACCAGTCGGTGAGTAAGACCTTCCTGTTCAATGGCTACGTTCTTATTGGGTTTGATTTCTGTCTTTCCCTTAAGCCATTTACACTGTAGGGACAGAAGTAAAGTGGCATTAAAGATAAGTGATGTTTGCGGCGTTCGGTCTTCATGTAAGATTTCTGAGTAAACACTTATGAATGGTTATTGTCTCCAGAATAAAATCTCTCGCAGAAGGTGTACATTATTTCTCTCAAAGAACTCTGGGTGTTTGATATTTCGTACCTGCTTCTCCTTGGAGGTGCGGCACTCGAGGACTACTTCTGAATTCTCGTCCACCACACAAGACTCGAGGCCACGCTTGAAGGTGCTGCAAGGTAATAATAGATTAATGAAAGCCTTTGTTATTGGGTGAGACTAAACCCAGTATTACATAGAGGAGAGAAAGAGAGAGATTTCTTTTCTCATTTTATTGCTTGGTGGTACAAGTTCGCTGAGAACCGGCTTTAGTCGAACCGAAGATGCACACTAAGTTATAAGGAGTCAGCAACTGAAAAATCGTCATTATTCCCGTCAAAATGGACTTTTCAATATAAAAAAATAAATTATGATCTCTTAATTACTAACTTGCAGATGAAGTGTAAGGCATATGAGTAGATTACATGAGATATAAACCATCACGTTTAAATTTATAGATCTAAAATTTATCTTTACTAGAATAATTATATTTGGATTATATGATATTCCGTTTTTTCCTATTATCTACAGAATGGAGTTGGTAGCTTTCAAATTATAAAAGTTTTGTAGGAAAGTGATTATAGGTTACAGAAATATTAAACTCCATTCATATATCTTAAATACCTTACACTAATTCATGCCAATATTATAAATATTTCTCTTCCAGTGTTGCATAAAAATAATATATGTATACACACCCAAAAATATATAAAATAAAAATTAAATTAAATATATACGAAACATTACAGACTCGGTGAGTAAAAACAGAGGTTTTAAAAATTTGCCATTTGTGACAAGGAGGACGTGCGTGTGCAATAGTGAGGAGCGGGTACTTACACAATGTCGACCCCCACGGTAACATTAGCCGAATGGGAAGACTTGCCAACTTTGTTAGTTGCTGTGCATGTGTATTTGCCAGAGTCTTCCTTGGGTAGGACGTTGCGTATTTCAAGCACTGCTAACTCCTCCTGGAAGGTCATGACCACATTCTTCTCCACCTTGAGTTTCTTGCCATTCCTGGAGGCAATAGCGTGGTAGGAGGCCGCGTCAGCATTAGCAGGGAGGTTAACTAAATAATTTCATTGGGGAAGGTTTCCGTATTCAGAGTAATTTGTAACAATATTTTATTTTAGTTAATGTGCTGGGGGTTTAAGGGGGAATCTTATGTTGTTTTAGGGTAGTTGCTTTAAAGCAAAATAAAATGCAATGTGCTTTTTTATAAAACTCAAATAACGGCAAGCATGGCATAATTGATTCATGGATATATACAAATGTTTAATGACAAGCAAACTAAAAAGGTCCAGTTCTATAGAAAACTAAAGATTGTGAGGTATACAAGTGAGAAAAAAATAAATATCAAAACGTTCGAAAATAAGAATAAAATGCAGGTCAGAAATCAAACAGGCATTTAATATAAAGACCAACACACCCTGAACCAAGGCGAGCTTAGTACTGGCCGATAGTCCCATAGTGCACTCGGTCATAAGTAAGGAGCGAAAATAATGAACAGCATCCTGGCAACTGACCTGCTCCAAGTCACATCAGGCGCCGGCACACCGCGGATTTTCGCCACAAGACGTATTGTGCCCTCAGACTCCACCGTGTGATCCTGGAACTTCTCCTCGAACGTGGGAGCCTCTGGAGCCTGAAATTTTTTGTTGAAGGTACCAGTACTGCACTAATTCTGATTGTATTTTTAGTATTCAATGCACCATAGAAAAGAATAAAAAATATTTATTTTATTTTATACAGTAACTGTATTCTAGAATATTAAATGTTGAATACCAAGCATCAATGTTACTGAAAACTTACAGTTACTTTAAGAGTGATCTGGTTCTTGGCCTCTCCTTCACGGTTCTTCACCAAGATCTCATATAAGCCTTCATCTTCCTTCTTGGCGCCCTTAATAATGACGATTGAGCGGTAGGCGTGAACGTCCTTTTGTTTAACAACACGTACACGCTGGGACTCACGTACAACCTGATCGTTTCATATAGCAGTAGTCAGTTATATACATATATATATATATATATATATATATATATATATATATATATATATATATATATATATATATATATATATATATATATATATATATATATATATATATATATATATATATACAGTATATATATCACCTAGGCAGTAGTATTTATATAATAAAAAAGGGTGTTGGTCTGATAAACAATAATATTACTTAATTCAAATTAATAAAGTAGATTCATATTATTGATATCATGTCATATTTTTATGACTAATACAGTTTTCACAAGTGATGTACCTGTCCATCCTTCTTCCAGATAATTTCAGGCTCTGGGATAGCCACTAGTCTCACGTCCATCTCTAGCTGAGCACCCTCCTCTACAGTCTTTACAGTAGGCTTGTTAGCAAAGGTTGGTGGAATGCCCTCCATAATATCACAGACAGAAGATTCCCTGCTGAGACTGCGACGAGAAGCTACCACAGAGTCAGAACCATGGTCACTGATTGGGCCTTCAACAACTAGCTCAGCAGTGCAGGAAGAATAGCCAGCTTGGTTCTTGGCCACGCAGGTAAACATACCTGCATCTTCAGGGAACACCTCCTTCACTACTAATGTTGCTGTGTTGTCATCGGAGTAGAACACCTGAAATATTCAACGCTTGTGAATAAAAATCACGGAAATATTTATTATTTTCTAAGCTGGCAATCCATAAGTATCAGTGTAATTTTTCAGTCAGTGGACTTAGCCTTAGGAACATTGTTAATCACATTGTTCCTTGACTCACGAGGAACAGTACATTACCTGGAACTCTTCTGATGGCTTGATGATGGCAGTCTGCCTGAACCAGGTGATGTTGGGTCGTGGAGTGCCTTGGATCTTGCACACGAACTGTGCTTCTTGGCCATCCACCACTGCCAGGGGCTCTATTTTAGTCACCATTTTCGGTGGCTCAGCATTCTGGCCCTTTTTCAGCTCTGCAAAGGGAATTTTATTTGGTATACAAATACAAGCACTCAAAAAATATATATACAGTACTCCATATAGTAAAAATTAATACTATATTTTGTCAAAACAACTATTTTACATAAACAGTACCATTTAGTGTAATCTAATGAACCCTAACTTTTTATCATCATACATACAGTATATACTGTGTATAGCGAGCACCATTAACAATATTTGGGATTAATAAACTAACTATCAAAGACGGGCAACTTGGTGATCTTCTCTCCAAGTTTCTGCTGGACGTAGTGAGTGTAAGAGACTTCTTCAGCCAGTAGTTTGGCCGGGACGTAACCTTGTTCCAGCGTCAAGTGTTTCCTCACGAACCACCAGTCGCTGTTGGTTGACTCTGCAAGAGAGTATAACACTATAAGAACCACTCTCAGCCACCGAGAACACTACACACGAACATACACAACTAGGGACGTCACTACACAATCATACGCAACTAGGAGGACACTACATCACCATACACAATAAGATATTATATATATACTGGCATTCCCTGCTTTACAGAACTTCTGGTTATGGAATTTCGCCCTGAAGGAATTCTGAAATTATGACCTTAATTTTGGGTTATGGAAAACAACTCACACTTACGGAATTATGGTAAATTTTAAATTTAAAAACAAAATTCGCAATTTCTAACCCAAATTTATACCCAAATTTAAAAATCATTTCTGTGTATTCTCTATGGTAGCCACAAAGAGGTTGGAAGGCCGTTCACCTTCCCAGTTGCCAGCAACCACTAGAGCAATGGCGCTGCTCAGTTAGACTTCTTTCCCCAGCTTGTGTTCAGTTATGAATCTGTGTTCAAGACTTGATTCGCCCTAATGAAATTTTGGTTTATTTATTCAGATTAAAAAAAATTACAATATAGAAAAAAAAAATATCACCAAAATTAGAAAATTTATTCCGTGTGGATTCTGAGACTCACCTGATCACCTGACAGTAACCACAATAATAATTGCACTACTCACTTTGAATTCTTTCCCCAGATTGTGTTCAGTTATGCGTCTGTATTACTGTGTACCCTTATTCTAGATGAGTGGAAAAAGACCATCAAGTTCAATTGAAAGCAGTGGTGATAGAAGATTCCATAAAGGAATTGCATTGGACATTAAACTTGATGTTTCAAGGAGGTATCTCCTAGAAATTCTGATCCCACAACCTACCTCACCACCTCTTTCAACACTCAACATCGTTTCTGTTAAGTAATAATCGAGTGTTTTGTTCATTTATTATCATGCTATATCATTAATGAGCCATTGCATGTGGTTAAAGCCATCTAATTTAATATTTTGGGGCCTCAAAAACATTCCTTAGGAATGCATCTCAACTTTTATAATGGAGGTATATAGGAAAAATGGTTTTGTAGTATGGAAGATTTCCAGGAACAAAACCCTTCCTTTACCCGGGGATGCCTGTATACCTGTATATATATATTGTAGTGAAGACAAAGAAACATTTTGTCCAGGAGAAACAGATGATGTAAAAATGGCTGCAGTGAAAAAATGCAGGAGATGGTTGCATTAAATATTAATGATGCTAAAACCAGCCGAGTACAAAGTAAATGGATTATCATGAACATTGTCATTATGACAATGCAGTAATCAACAGAAAGTGGACATGAAACTGAGTAAGTGGGAAATTCAATGCCCGCATGTAACAAGTTCTGCAATGTTTTGTTTTTATGGTACTTCCACATTCTTTATTAAACAAAATAACTATAAACATATGACAACAGTGTATACAGTGAACATTAGGAACAGTTGCACCTACCCTGAATATAGACACGCTCGCCTTCTACCAGGTGCATAGCGTTCTCCTGGGTAGTGTCTGCCACGTAGGTGGCGGTTGCACGCAGCTGATCTCCCGGCTTGACAGAGAAGGGCGGCGCTATCTCCAGTGCTAATAGGAAGTAAACCTACTGTCAGAAAGTTACTGAAACAGCAAGTGAACCTGCCGGACTATTGACACGTTGAAGATATACAAGTGATTGCGCTCACGACCAGGTGCGTACTGTACCAGAGCTGAAGTTTGATTCGAATAGAAAGCTAATACTGTATACAGTGTGCTGTGATTTTTGGAAAATTGCTGTTACAGTTACTATTAAGGCTTAGTGAATTATATATATATATATATATATATATATATATATATATATATATATATATATATATATATATATATATATATATATATATATATATATATTATTATTATTATTATTATTATTAGAGGGATATTGTTACTATGGTGATACAACACTCAGCCGTACAGCATTCAAGATCATGGAGTGTAGGGTGTCCCTATACGGAATCACAACCACAGCGAATACCTACACCATCGGCGTAGTGTGAGAAGGGGCATTCTTTTTATTTTGCTATTGGTATGCTTATATCTTCGTTAATATCAATTTGCACAAGATATACTGTAGAAGAAAATCGATTCAGCATTACATTCTACATAAGAACTTATTGTCATCTGAGCTTAACTATTATTTTTTTTTAACTGGTAATACTTAAGAAGAGGTGCACGGATGTTAACGAGCAACATTAGGAACTTTTCAATATAAGAAAACTTCCTTTTCTCAAGAACATCCCAGAATATTGTGGAGGAATCAGTTTTTTCAAACCTAATCCAACCCCCCCCCCAAAAAAAAATTACAGTAAGAAGAGAAATCTAACAACTCTCATTTATCAGGATACGACTTCCCACTGTAACTTAACATCACAGTTAAGTAACCTCCAGTCAGCCCAGCTGGGAATTACCAGCTAAGCAGCCACTTCCAATTCAATTAACTGATGCAGACCATCCATCCTTGTGAATAATATAAATTTTGGCCCATCATTCTGCAATTTTGGAAGTTGACAGCCTCAGCATAATTTCCTGGTGTATGAGCATAATACTGATTCATTTTTAATCATTCAGGCCTAAGGAAATTTACATTATTTCCCATAATAGAAGTCTAGTATAGTACCTGCAAATTGCACCATAAAGCATACAAATGTCACTCTTCAAGCAGCAACAGATCATCAGAATGTTCCGGCAAGAGAATTGTTAACAAACCTGAAATCGCTTTGATAAATAATATAGTCTTTTTAAACGCTATTGCACTTAAAAATTTGCCAAATTTCTCTCATTATTGTAAAAAATAATATTTTGTTTTCTTTTTATATTCAAACACGTACTACATATAGATGCTAGTAAATGTATAAATTATGAACATATTTTTTCATAGGACTTGCTCTTAGGGTACCCTCCCAATTCTCATGAACACTCCAATAATCTATAGGCAGGCAATGCTTATGGTAAAAATAATAATAATGGATGCCCACGAGGATGGCCGGCCCAAAGGCCACCTAGGCGTGAATTTGTTTAAGGTGTAGAAGCTGTCGCCAACACAACAACCATACCCTAAGTTAACGAGTTGCATGACCCAGTGTCAAGGAATAATCCGAGAGGACCGGACAACTCGCCAACTGCACTGGCTAACCATTACCCCGGAACAGGATCCGCAAATCGATTAACATCCAGGTCTCCAATTACTGCTGGGTAGACAGAGGCAAATGGTATACACTACACTCGGCAATCATGAATACGGCCAACTGACATAAAGTGTTGGTCACCCTTCATCATCTACAAAATATAGATGTTTTTGTATTAGTTAGGATTATTTATTACTTTTGTATGGTTTATATGAGGTAACACTCGAGTTTACTGGTATTAAAATTCCCACCGTATAGAAGCAGGTAGGTGGGTGTGGAATGGACTGTAAGTGGTTGTCATATTACTTTATAGGTATTTATTACTCGAAGTCTTTTTATGAGAGGAAGAAAGCATGTTGAATTTTATTAATTATTTGCACTGCATTCTTGTGACTGAGTAATAGAGTGCAGTTTTCTTTTCGTTCAAAAAAACGAATAGGTTGAACATCACCTGTACAAAGTGAGATAATGATGTGGCTTGAGAACTGGTTATAAATTTATTACACACAAGATTCGATGCTTTCTCTTGATCACAATAGATGGTGTGCTACGGGTCAATATTTATGAGGATGTGAATGAAACTTTGTATGTACAGTATTTCGTGTTCCAGACGAATTTGATGCAGCTGATTATATTTGAAGGTGTTCTGTATTTTTCGATGTATAATATTTAAAATAAAGCTTAGAAAACGCCTTTATGTTTATGCTTAAGCAACAAATCGTTGTACTAATAGTTTGTTTCTGAATAGCAAATCTGATTGAGTATGGTGTCCTGATTAATGCTCATTTTTTAAAGATCAAGAAGTATGATATTTGTAATCTTGTGTGCCTGCACATCATTAATCATGCACTGTAGAGGTGATGACAAAGGATTGTTTTAGAGGAGAAAGAAGACATTAGCAATTTGGATGTGACTCTACATGTTAGTGTCAATGTGTGTTTACCTTCTGTTGGAGACTGTACAGCAACCTGTATATGCATTTGGACGTCCTCTGTAAATTGTGAGATATCAGTGAACATGTTGTTATTTTAGTGAATTGAACGTTGATGTTAACTGCAATGTGAGTATTGCTAAGAGGAGTGCCAGTTTAAATTAAATATATTTAGGAAGGTTATACATTACAATATTTTAAGGAAAGTAAATTGCATGTTGAGAAAGACGTGACTATGCAAGAATAATTTCATTATAAATGATTTGTGAATTTTAACTAAAATACTGTAAGCCCTGCAATGAAAATATTTTCATTAATAAAGTATCCTGAAAATTACCTGAAAAGAAATACTGAATATTATGAAGCCTTAATATTAAATAAAAGAGTGAATAACACCGTTGTACGAAAAATAAATGTCATAGCGGAAGCGCAACATAACGATAGAGAAGTGAAAAATATGAAAAAAAGCTTAGCGCAGAAATATTATAATTGCCTTTTTTTTTATAAGCTCTTTACTTCTCATGGTAAGTACAGCTCAATATGGAATACGTCGAGCGTCCGAGTGGTAGTGGCGTCATATTACCTACCATGGAGGAGAACGTCACCACCAAGGTAAGTAATAACAAAACTTCTCACTCATACACTGACAAGTGTCAGCTATACTTGTAAAGAAACACACATTTTTATAGATACGGAAAATGAAAGGCGTAAAAAGGCTTTGGAGATTTTGTAGTGTGTTATGCATATGTTAGGTAATTTTCTACGATATAGAAAAGGTGAGAATGCGTGGGCAAATAAAAAAGGCACATCAAAAATAGAAATAAAGAGTAGAGATGGGATTAATGGGAGGGTGAGTACATTAGGAGCAATAACAGACTCCTCCAGGATCTCTAACCTTGGGTGAAGACGGGAGGTTGTTTGGGTAGGGGAGGAAGCTTGATTTTTTGGGTGGTTTCAATTTCCTCGGTTTGCTTCTGTATTCGCTTCTTTGGAAGATCAAAGGTGAATTTACCCTCAACGTCACGGTCCTCGTACTCCTCGACTTCTTCCTCCGGCTCCACTGCTCTTATTCTGAAGCTCTCCTCTACATCTTCACCAACTTCGAATGTTGGTTCTTTCCTGAGTCTTACACCTACCTCAACCTCTTCCTCCTCCTCCACCTTGTATTTCTTCTTCCTTGGCAGCCTCATCCGGAACGACTCTTGAATCTCCTCGGGAGATTTTGCCCGAGTGTCAGTTTCATCAATAACCTTTTTGATAGTCACCGTTTCTTCGCCCTCATCTCTAACCGTCATTGGCTTCTTAGGTTTCTTCCTTCTAATCTGAACAATTTCCTCTGCAACTTCAGTATCATCAGTGATGTATTTCTTTTCAAACACTACATCCTCCACCTCTTCATAAATAATCTCTGGCTCCTCATCATCAGACTCCTGGATCATCATCTTAGACTCAACAGTTTCTTCCGTCACAGAATACTTCTTCTTGGGCCTCTTCATTCTTATTTGTACATCTTCAGTTGTCTCCTCGTGTGTGAAATCTTCAGGTTCTTTTAATTGCATTTGAACTTCCTCCGATATTTCTTGAGTTTCTCTTACGAAGGGCTTTGGTTTTCTCTTTATAGTAACAACTTCACTAACTTCATTGGGTTCTTCCTCTTCTGGCTCTTCCCTAGGCTTTTTCAGTGTAAACTCTTCACTAATTTCCTCTGTCACAATTGGTTTCTTCTTCTTAGGCTTCATTCTAAAGCTTACTTGCTCTGTCACCTCCTCGGTTACAGTTGGTTCAGGAGATCTCTGTTTGATTGTAACCTCTTCAGATACATCCTCCTGGGTTTCTTCAGGTTTCTTCGCCTTTGGTCTCTTGACCATGAATTCCTCAGTTACTTCTTCAGCAGGTTCTTCCTTTGGTTTCGGCTTCCGAATTGTTACCTCTTCTGTAATATCCTCCTCTTTGGTCGTAACCTTTCTCTTGGGTTTTCTCCTTATTTGAACAGTTTCTGGAGTCTCTTCAGATGGTTCTTCAAATGGCTCCTCTGTCTTTATGATTGTCACTTCTTCCGTTACCTCTTCTATCTTACCTTTAGGTTTCTTCTTAGGTTTTAGTTTTATCTGTACGTCCTCAGTCATCTCTTCAGTTACCTGCTCTACAATTTCTGGTTCCTTTATTGTTATTTCTTCTGAAACATCCTCAAACTTCTCCTTCGATGTCTCCTTTGGTCTCTTGATATGGACATCTTCAGTAACTTCCTCTACTTTATCCTCGCGTTTTCTCAAAATTGTTACTTCTTCAGAAATTTCTTCATACTTTGGCTCTGGTTTCTTTTTAGGTTTCAGCTTAAAGTGAACTTCTTCAGTAGTTTCTTCGACTTCCTCTTCTGGTTTCCTTATGGTTACTTCTTCAGTAACTTCTTCAGTCTTAAATTCAGGTTTCTTCTTGGGCTTCTTCTTAATGGTCACTTCTTCACTGACTTCCTCAAAGACCTTTTCTTCTGGTTTCTTGATAGTCACTTCCTCGGTAACTTCCTCGGTAACCTTCTCCTCAGGTTTTTTCTTTGGTTTCTTGATGGTCACTTCCTCAGTAACTTCCTCAACAACCTTCTCCTCGGGTTTCTTCTTTGGTTTCTTGATGGTCACTTCCTCAGTAACTTCTTCAGTAACCTTCTCTGATTTCTTCTTTGGTTTCTTCTTGATGGTCACTTCCTCAGTAACTTCTTCCTCAACCTTCTCTTCCGGTATCTTGATTGTCACTTCCTCAGTAACGTCCTCAACAACCTTCTCCTCAGGTTTCTTCTTTAGTTTCTTGATGGTCACTTCCTCAGTAACTTCCTCAACAACCTTCTCCTCGGGTTTCTTCTTTGGTTTCTTGATGGTCACTTCCTCAGTAACTTCCTCAGTAACCTTCTCTTCCGGTTTCTTGATGGTCACTTCCTCAGTAAATTCCTCAACAACCTTCTCCTCGGGTTTCCTCTTTGGTTTCTTGATAGTCACTTCCTCAGTAACTTCTTCAGTAACCTTCTCTGGTTTCTTCTTTGGTTTCTTCTTGATGGTCACTTCCTCAGTAACTTCTTCCTCAACCTTCTCTTCTGGTTTTTTAATGGTCACTTCCTCAGTAACTTCCTCAACAACCTTCTCCTCGGGTTTCTTCTTTGGTTTCTTGATGGTCACTTCCTCAGTAACTTCTTCAGTAACCTTCTCTGGTTTCTTCTTTGGTTTCTTCTTGATGGTCACTTCCTCAGTAACTTCTTCCTCAACCTTCTCTTCCGGCATTTTGATGGTTACTTCCTCAGTAACTTCCTCAACAACCTTCTCCTCAGGTTTCTTCTTTGGTTTCTTGATGGTCACTTCCTCAGTAACTTCCTCAACAACCTTTTCCTCGGATTTCTTCTTTGGTTTCTTGAGAGTCACTTCCTCAGTAACTTCTTCAGTAACCTTCTCTGGTTTCTTCTTTGGTTTCTTCTTGATGGTCACTTCCTCGGTAACTTCTTCCTCAACCTTCTCTTCTGGTTTCTTAATGGTCACTTCCTCAGTAACTTCCTCAACAACCTTTTCCTCCTCTTTGGTTTCTTGAGAGTCACTTTGGTTTCTTGGTTTCTTCTTTGAGGGTCAGTCACTTCTCTCAATGGTCAAGTAACTTCCTTTCAGTACTTCCTCAGTAACCTTCTAACCTTCTCTGGTTTCTTCTTTGGTTTCTTCTTGATGGTCACTTCCTCAGTAACTTCTTCCTCAACCTTCTCTTCAGGTTTCTTAATGGTCACTTCCTCAGTAACTTCCTCAACAACCTTCTCCTCGGGTTTCTTCTTTGGTTTCTTGATAGTCACTTCCTCAGTAACTTCTTCAGTAACCTTCTCTGGTTTTTTCTTTGGTTTCTTCTTGATGGTCACTTCCTCAGTAACTTCTTCCTCAACCTTCTCTTCAGGTTTCTTAATGGTCACTTCCTCAGTAACTTCCTCAACAACCTTCTCCTCTGGTTTCTTCTTTGGTCTCTTCTTGATGGTCACTTCCTCAGTAACTTCTTCCTCAACTTTCTCTTCCGGTTTCTTGATGGTCACTTCCTCAGTAACTTCTTCAACAACCTTCTCCTCTGGTTTCTTCTTTGGTTTCTTCTTGATAGTCACTTCCTCAGTAACTTCTTCAGTAACCTTCTCTTCAGGCTTCTTAATGGTCACTTCTTCAGTAACTTCCTCAACAACCTTCTCTTCGGGTTTCTTCTTTGGTTTCTTCTTAATGGTCACTTCCTCAGTAACTTCCTCAACGACTTTCTCTTCAGGCTTCTTAATGGTCACTTCCTCAGTAACTTCCTCAACAACTTTCTCTTCAGGCTTCTTAATGGTTACTTCTTCAGTAACTTCCTCAACAACCTTCTCTTCGGGTTTCTTCTTTGGTTTCTTCTTAATGGTCACTTCCTCAGTAACTTCCTCAACAACCTTCTCTTCAGGCTTCTTAATGATCACTTCCTCAGTAACTTCCTCAACAACCTTCTCTTCAGGCTTCTTAATGGTCACTTCCTCAGTAACTTCCTCAACAACCTTCTCTTCGGGTTTCTTCTTTGGTTTCTTCTTAATGGTCACTTCCTCAGTAACTTCCTCAACGACTTTCTCTTCAGGCTTCTTAATGGTCACTTCCTCAGTAACTTCCTCAACAACCTTCTCTTCAGGCTTCTTAATGGTCACTTCCTCAGTAACTTCCTCAACAACCTTCTCTTCGGGTTTCTTCTTTGGTTTCTTCTTAATGGTCACTTCCTCAGTAACTTCCTCAACAACCTTCTCTTCAGGCTTCTTAATGGTCACTTCCTCAGTAACTTCCTCAACAACCTTCTCTTCGGGTTTCTTCTTTGGTTTCTTCTTAATGGTCACTTCCTCAGTAACTTCCTCAACAACCTTCTCTTCAGGCTTCTTAATGGTCACTTCCTCAGTAACTTCCTCAACAACCTTCTCTTCGGGTTTCTTCTTTGGTTTCTTCTTAATGGTCACTTCCTCTGTAACTTCCTCAACAACCTTCTCTTCGGGTTTCTTGAGGGTCACTTCCTCTGTAACTTCCTCAACCTTCTCAGGTTTCTCAACTGTGACTTCCTCGATAACCTCTTCCTTGATCTCCTTTTTCTTCTTTGGTTTTAGTTTAACCTTTTCTTCAACAATCTCCTCCTCTTCTACTTCTTCTTCCACTTTCTTAGTAACTTGTTCTTCATCAGATTCCTCAACTACTTCGATGACTTTCTTTTCTTTAGTAGGTCCTCTCAAAACAATTACATCTTCTTGATCTGCACGTTGGAGATTCTCCGTTACAGTAACCTTTGCCTTATCTTCAATCAATTTAGTTTCTGGAATTGTGTCTGGTGCGATCTCTGGAGCCACCTCTAGAACCTGAAGAGAATCTTTCTTTGTTACACTGATCTTTGCAGTTTCACTTATCTGCTTTGGAGTAACCATATCTTGTGTCTGTCCTTCAACCTGAACCTCACTAACAGAAACAGATTCCTGAGGACTCACAATTGGTTTTGCGGTTTCAGTCTTTGGCCTCAAATCCGAAAGATCTCCAGGCGCTTCTTTAACTGAAATTTCTTCCACAGATATGGAGTCCTGTGGAGAAAGAACCGATTTGGCAGTCTCTGTTTTCGGTTTCTGATCAGCTAGGTCCTTTGGAGATTCCTTCACAGATACTTCTTCAACAGTAACTGACTGGTGAGGAGAAATAACTGAGGAGGCTTGTTCAGTCTGGAATTTCAAATCCTTCATGGACCCAGGTTCATCCTTTACCAAAACTTCCTGTACAGAAATGGACTCCTGCTCAGAAAAGATTGATGTTGCTTTCCCTGTTTTAGGCTTTGAATCCTTAATATCTTCAGGAGCTTCCTTTGCTGTTATTTCTTGAACAGTAAGTGATTCATGTGCAGAGATTATAGATGTTGCCTGTTCTGTTTTTGGTTTTGCATCTTTCATTGATCCAGTTGCCTCTCTTACCGACACCTCTTGGACGGAAATAGATTCCTGAGGCGAAAATACTGAGGTTGCTTGCTCTGTTTTGGGCCTTTTATCACTTATGTCTGTTGGAATTTCCTTGACAGCTATCTCTTCAACTGTTACCGATTCGTGAGGAGATATAATGGATGTGGCTTGCTCAGTCTTTGGTTTTGCTTGTTCCATAGAACCTGGAGCTTCCTTCACCGATATTTCTTGGACAGAAATAGACTCCTGCTCTGACAAAATTGAAGTTGCTTTTTCTGTCTTTGGTTTCTTATCACTTATATCAGTTGGGGTTTCCTTTACTGATACTTCTTGGACAGTAAGCGACTGAAGTTCTGATATGACAGATGTAGCTTGCTCGGTTTTTGGTTTTGCATCTTTCATTGAACCTGGAGCTTCTTTCACCGATATTTCTTGGACAGAAATAGACTCCTGTTCGGACAAAATAGATGTTGCCTTCTCTGTCTTTGGTTTTTTGTCGCTTATGTCTATCGGAGCTTCTTTCACAGATACTTCCTGGACAGTAAGTGATTCCAATGGAGAAATGGTTGATGTTGCCTGTTCTGTTCTTGGTTTTGCATCTTTCATGGAACCTGGAGCTTCCTTCACGGATATTTCTTGAACAGAAATCGACTCCTGTTCTGACAAAATTGAAGTTGCTTTTTCTGTCTTTGGTTTCTTTTCGCTTATGTCTGTTGGAGCTTCCTTCACGGATACTTCTTGGACAGAAATGGATTCTTGCTCAGACAAAATGGAAACTGCCTTCTCAGTTTTCGGTTTTTTATCACTTATGTCTGTTGGAGCTTCCTTCACCGATACTTCTTGCACGGTAAGTGATTGATGTTCAGAAATGAGAGATGTTGCTTGCTCTGTTTTTAGCTTCAAATCCTTCATTGATCCAGGAGCTTCTTTCACCGACACTTCCTGGACAGTAAGTGATTGCAGTGGAGAAATGGTTGATGTTGCCTGTTCTGTTCTTGGTTTTGCATCTTTCATCGACTCAGGGGATTCTTTCACTGATACCTCTTGAACAGAAATGGATTCTTGTTCAGATAAAATAGAGGTGGCTTGCTCTCTCTTTGGCTTTTTCTCACTCAGATCTGTTGGTGCTTCTTTCACCGATATTTCCTGGACAGTGAGCGACTGATGTTCTGATATGACAGATGTAGCTTGCTCGGTTTTTGGTTTTGCATCTTTCATTGAACCTGGAGCTTCTTTCACCGATATTTCTTGGACAGAAATAGACTCCTGTTCGGACAAAATAGATGTTGCCTTCTCTGTCTTTGGTTTTTTGTCGCTTATGTCTATCGGAGCTTCTTTCACCGACACTTCCTGGACAGAAATGGATTCTTGTTCAGACAAAATGGAAACTGCCTTCTCAGTTTTTGGTTTCTTATCACTTATGTCTGCCGCAGCTTCTTTCACCGACACTTCCTGGACAGTAAGTGATTCCAATGGAGAAATGGTTGATGTTGCCTGTTCTGTTTTTGGTTTTGCATCTTTCATTGAACCTGGAGCTTCCTTCACCGATATTTCTTGGACAGAAATAGACTCCTGTTCTGACAAAATTGAAGTTGCTTTTTCTGTCTTTGGTTTCTTATCACTTATATCAGTTGGGGTTTCCTTTACTGATACTTCTTGGACAGTAAGCGACTGAAGTTCTGATATGACAGATGTAGCTTGCTCGGTTTTTGGTTTTGCATCTTTCATTGAACCTGGAGCTTCTTTCACCGATATTTCTTGGACAGAAATAGACTCCTGTTCCGACAAAATAGATGTTGCCTTCTCTGTCTTTGGTTTTTTGTCGCTTATGTCTGTTGGAGCTTCTTTTACCGATATTTCTTGGACAGAAATAGACTCCTGTTCGGACAAAATAGATGTTGCCTTCTCTGTCTTTGGTTTTTTGTCGCTTATGTCTGTTGGAGCTTCTTTTACCGATATTTCTTGGACAGAAATAGACTCCTGTTCGGACAAAATAGATGTTGCCTTCTCTGTCTTTGGTTTTTTGTCGCTTATGTCTGTTGGAGCTTCTTTCACAGATACTTCCTGGACAGTAAGTGATTCCAATGGAGAAATGGTTGATGTTGCCTGTTCTGTCTTTGGTTTCTTTTCGCTTATGTCTGTTGGAGCTTCCTTCACCGATACTTCTTGCACGGTAAGTGATTGATGTTCAGAAATGAGAGATTTTGCTTGCTCTGTTTTTAGCTCCAAATCCTTCATTGATCCAGGAGCTTCTTTCACCGACACTTCCTGGACAGTAAGTGATTGCAATGGAGAAATGGTTGATGTTGCCTGTTCTGTTCTTGGTTTTGCATCTTTCATGGAACCTGGAGCTTCCTTCACGGATATTTCTTGAACAGAAATCGACTCCTGTTCTGACAAAATTGAAGTTGCTTTTTCTGTCTTTGGTTTCTTTTCGCTTATGTCTGTTGGAGCTTCCTTCACGGATACTTCTTGGACAGAAATGGATTCTTGCTCAGACAAAATGGAAACTGCCTTCTCAGTTTTCGGTTTTTTATCACTTATGTCTGTTGGAGCTTCCTTCACCGATACTTCTTGCACGGTAAGTGATTGATGTTCAGAAATGAGAGATTTTGCTTGCTCTGTTTTTAGCTTCAAATCCTTCATTGATCCAGGAGCTTCTTTCACCGACACTTCCTGGACAGTAAGTGATTGCAATGGAGAAATGGTTGATGTTGCCTGTTCAGTCTTTGGCTTTGCATCTTTCATCGACCCAGGAGATTCTTTCACTGATACTTCTTGGACAGAAATTGATTCCTGTTCAGACAAAATCGAAGTTGCTTTTTCAGTTTTTGGCATTTTATCAGTTATGTCTGCCGGAGCTTCCTTCACAGTTACCTCTTGGACAGTAAGTGACTGATGCTCGGAAATAACAGAGGTTGCCTGTTCTTGTTTTGGTTTCACATCTTTCATTGATCCTGGAGCTTCTTTCACGGAAACCTCTTGAACAGCAATGGACTCTTGTTCAGACAGCACTGAGATTGCCTTCTCTGTTTTTGGTTTTTTATCACTTATATCCCCAGATGATTCTTTAACCGATACTTCTTGAATAGTAAGTGATTCGTGTGGTGAAATTATCGATTTTGCTTGTTCTGTTTTCGGCTTTGAATCTTTCATGGACTCTGGAGCTTCTTTTACAGAGATTTCCTGAACAGAAATTGATTGCTGTTCTGTCAATATTGAAGTTGCCTTCTCAGTCTTTGGTGTTCTATCACATATGTCTGATGGAGCTTCTTTCACCGTTACTTCTTCAACAGTAAGTGACTGGTGTGGAGAAAGAATTGATATAGCTTGTCCGGTCTTCGGTTTTATGTCTTCCACCGAGCCAGGAGCCTCTTTCACAGACACTTCCTGAACTGCAATAGATTCTTGTTGAGACAAAATTGATGTTGCTTTTTCCGTCTTTGGTTTTTTGTCTGTGATGTCTATGGAGGCTTCTTTAACCATTACTTCTTGAACAGTAAGTGATTCATGTGGAGATATTATGGATTTTGCTTGCTCTGTCTTAAGCTTTGCTTCCTCAATCGAACCTGGAGCCTCTTTTACAGACACCTCCTGCACAGCTATGGATTCCTGTTCTGACCATACTTTGGTTGCCTTCTCAGTTCTTAGTGTTTGGTCACTTAAATCTGCCGGAACTTCCTTCACAGATATTTCCTGAATGGAAATTGATTCATGTGGAGAAATAATTGAAGTCGCTTGTTCTTTCTTTGGTTTTATATCCTTCACCGACCCAGGAGCCTCTTTCACCGACACTTCTTGGACAGAGATGGACTCCTGCTCAGATAATATTGAAGTTGCCTTCTCGGTTTTTGGCTTCTTATCTCGTATATCTCCCGAAGCTTCCTTTACTGTCACCTCTTCAATAGTAAGGGACTGATGTGGGAAAATAATTGAAGTTGCTTGTCCTTCCTTTGGTTTTATATCCTTCATCGCTCCAGGAGCCTCTTTCACCGATATTTCATGGACAGAAATAGATTCTTGCTGAGACAATACAGAAGTTGCCTTTTCTGTCTTTGGTTTTCGGTCACTCAGGTCTGTTGGTGCTTCCTTCACAGACACTTCTTGAACAGTGATTGATTCATGTGGTGATATTATAGATGTTGCTTGTTCTGTTTTAAGTTTCAGATCCTTAACGGATCCAGGAGCATCTTTCACTGAAACTTCTTGAACAGAGATAGATTCCTGCTCAGATAATATTGATGTTGCCTTCTCAGTTTTTGGTTTCTTATCCATTATGTCTTCTGAAACTCCTTTTACTGTTACTTCTTGTACAGTAAGTGACTGGTGTGGAGAAATAATCGATGTAGCTTGTTCTGTCTTGGGTTTCATATCCTTCATCGACCCAGGGGCTTCTTTTATAGACACCTCTTGGACAGAAATGGATTCCTGCTCAGACAAAATAGAGGTGGCTTGCTCTCTCTTTGGCTTTTTCTCACTCAGGTCTGTTGGTGCTTCCTTCACAGACACTTCTTGAACAGTGATTGATTCATGTGGTGATATTATAGATGTTGCTTGTTCTGTTTTAAGTTTCAGATCCTTAACGGATCCAGGAGCATCTTTCACTGAAACTTCTTGAACAGAGATAGATTTCTGCTCAGATAATATTGATGTTGCCTTCTCAGTTTTTGGTTTCTTATCCATTATGTCTTCTGAAACTCCTTTTACTGTTACTTCTTGTACAGTAAGTGACTGGTGTGGAGAAATAATTGATGTAGCTTGTTCTGTTTTTGGCTTTGCATCTTTTACTGAACCAGGGGCTTCTTTAACAGATACTTCCTCGACAGAAATGGATTCCTGTTCAGATAAAATTGAAGTTGCTTTCTCAGCTTTAGGTTTTTTATCAGATATATCTCCTGGTTCCTCCTTTACTGTCACTTCATGGACAGACAAAGATTCATGTGTAGAGAAAATAGACGTAGCTTGTTCCTCCTTTGGTTTTGCATCTTTTATTGCTCCAGGAGCTTCTTTCACAGACACCTCTTGGACAGCAATGGATTCTTGGGGAGTCAAAATTGAAGTAGCTTTCTCTGTTTTTGGTTTTGCATCTGTCATGTCTGCTGGAGCTTCTTTTACTGTAATTTCTTGTACAGTAAGGGACTCATGTGGAGAAATAATAGACGTAGCTGTCGCAGTCTTTGGTTTTTTATCTTTCACTGGACCTGGAGCTTCCTTTACCGAAACTTCTTGCACTGAAATAGACTCCTGCTCAGACAAAATTGAAATTGCCGTCTGTGACGTTGGCCTTTTCTCGCTTATATCTCTTGGAGTTTCCTTTACTGTTACTTCTTCAATAGTTAGTGATTCGTGTGGTGAAATGATGGACTTTGCCTGCTCTGTCTTTGGTTTTAGGTCAGCCACTGATCCAGGACTTTCCTTAATGGTAATTTCTTCAACAGCAATAGACTGTCTAGGTGATAGAATAGATTTTGCTTGTTCAGTTTTTGGTTTGTGGTCCTTTATATCCTGTGGAACTTCCTTAACATTTATTTCTTGTACAGTAATGGAATCCTGTTGAGGAAGAATTGTGTAAGCCTTTTCTTCCTTGTACTTTGATACAGGAACATTATCAGTGGACTCGTGAACTTGTGTCTGTGAAACGCTAATGGGCTCAGTTGGCTTTACAACTACACGGGCATACTCTTCTTTTGTCTTCACTCGCTCAACACTTTGTGGAGTTTCCTCAGTGGAAACTTCTGAAACTTGAATGGTTTCTCTTGTGTCTGGCAGAATCAAATTGGCAGTTTCTGTTTTCCTCTTTTCTTGAGGAACAATATGAGGAACTTCATCTGCAGTTACCTCAGAAATTGTGACAACCTCCCTGTGATCAATTTTGGTCTTTGCTGAATGCGTTCTCTCTGGTTTATATTCGGGCATTTGAACTGGCATTTCTTGACTTGACATTTCAGATACAGACACGGATGACTGATTTGGCAGTATCTGCATGGCTTTTTCTTCCTTGGGTTTCGTATGTGAAAGGTCACCCGCATGTGCTTCAACTCGAGTTTCCTGAACAAAAATAGATTCCTGTTGAGGCATTACCTTCTTTGCTTTATCAGATTTAGGTTTAGCTTTTGGAAGGTCTTTGGGTACCTCGTGAACTTTGACTTCCTCGACAACGAAAGATTCTTTCTGAGAAATTACTTTTCGTGCTCGTTCCTGTGATGGAGTTCTGTGTTTGGCGGTCTGTGGGGCCTCCTCAGATCGAACCTCTGACACTATTATTGATTCTCTTTGAGATAAAACAGTTTTAGCCCTTTCTTCTGAAGCTGTGCGGTGTTTAACAAATCCTGGTGCTTCTACTGTTGATGTCTCTGATACAATAACATGTTTTTGTTTAGAAACAACTGGCCTTGCTCTCTCCTGAGAGGGAGTTCGTTCTTTGAGATTAACTGGTTTTTCTTCTGTTTTTACTTCAGACACCATAACAGACTCACGTTTTGATACATGAGTTATAGCCTTTTCTTCTGTAGGTTTCTTGATTGTTATTTCACCAGAACTTTCGTGAACTTTAGTCTCTTCAATAGAAGCACACTGTTGGGGTGTAGCAACTGGTTCAGCCTTCTCCATTTTAGGTTTATGATCCTTAGTTTCTTCGTAATTTTCAGCCACAGTTACAGAGGACACAGTGACAGTTTCGTGGGGCTTTACCGAAGGCGTGGCCTTTACTTCAACTTTCTTTTCTTTCAAATCTATTGGGAGTTCATTAGATTTTACTTCCGACACTGTAACGTGTTCTCTTTCATCTAGCACTGTAGTAGCTTTTCGTTCGGTTGTTTTTTCAAACGAAACAGACGACGAGGACTCTCGTAAGTCAGCTTCTTCAACATGAATGCTTTGCTGAGTTACGTGACCTGGTTGAGCGATTGCAGGTGTAGGTTTGGTGACCTCATCCAATGATTCTGTTTGATTAAGAACTGACACTTGCATAACCGAGATAGTTTCTTGTGTATCGAAAATAGAGTGGGCTTGCTTAGTCTGTGGAGTGCTCTTGACTGCCTCTTCCTTTACAGTCTCGACAACAATTTCCTGAGAGCCGGAGACATGTGTAGACTGTTCCAATACAATCTTACCGGTAGCCAGAACAGGTTGTTCTGGTTTTAATATGCCTGGAAGTATATCAGGTTGCGGTTGAGTTACTTGTTTGGATGTGTGTGGGGTGAAGTGAAGTTTAGCGTGGGTGGTATCGGGAATGTTGAGTGTTGGGATTTTACCTTCCTGTTCCGCAATGTCAGGATGGGCAATATTCGCAAGGTGGAGGGGAGTAAGGACTGGTTTGGCTTCCACATTCTCTACATGTGGTTTTTTCGCAATATAATCTTGTTCTTTTGTTTCTGCGTTTATTTCTGAAACTGAAACGGACTGCATTTCTTCGACATTTGGCTTCGCTTTCATACTTTCTAGTTTCTTATCGACCAAAATATTTCCCGCTTCACTAATATCATGCTGCAACACTTCAGCGGCCTGTTGTGCATTAACTGTTAAGGTTGCAGTTTTACCTACAACTTTATCAGTTTCAGCCAATTTCTGGAGGCAATCCGACGGTTCAACGTTTGTAGATACTGCTACAACATGTCCTGGAATTCTATGCGATTCACCAACTGATGACTTTGGTGCAATAGTTTCAAAATCACTCTCTGATTCATGAACTCGAATTTCCTGCACTTGTACTGTATCTTGTGAAATTACCTCACTCTTGGCTTTACTCATCGGAGTTTCCTTTTCTTCACGGTTGGTAACGGGAGATTCGGGACGAGTTTCAGTTATAACAACGGGCTCATGGCCAGGAGTATGGAATTCTTTTGGTGCAACAGGAATCGGTTTAATATCATGATATTCCTCTTCTTTTAAGTGAACCATGGCCTCGCTAATAGCTGCTGCACGATGAAGAATATGGCTAGAAACTGCTTGTTCTTCAATTATTTTATCCAAAGAAAGATTATGTACACTTGAATCTGCATTCACCTCAGACACTGTCACTGGATGCAAAGGCCAAGTAATATCAGACTCCAGAGTAACTGTTGCCGGTTTTTCCACGTTCAGTATTCCCTCCTTATCTTTAGTTTCTGTTTCAGACACAGCAACAGCCTTCTGTGGTATGATAAATGGTTTTGCCTGTGCATCCTGTGGTTTCTTGTCTTTAAAGTCTTTCACGGGGGATTCAGCTCTAGTTTCACTAACCTGAATAGGAGCTTTTTCACTTTCGTATTCCACACTGGCTAGGTCTTCCTTTGGTTTAATCTGTTTGTATATTCCTTCTTTTTCACTCACTCCAACATTTGACGAAGAGGCAATCTGATGTGCAAAAAGAGATACTGATGCAGATTGTGATGGCTGAAGCTTCTGCTCTGCCATTTCTGATATGCTCGATTCAGTGCAAGTTTCTTGAACAATTAATGGTAAATGCGGAGGTTGCATTTGACCAGATAACGAGATTGTTGGGTAAGTGCTGGGCTTATGTATTCCTTCTTTCTCGTGAAGGACAACCTCTGAGACTGTTGCAGTTTTTGATGGAACCAATGAACCTGTTCCCTCTTCAGTCTTTGGTGTAGGTGATACTAAAAGTTCTTCAGTTGCTGATTGTGGATGAGTTTCTGAAACAGTAATAGCCTCACCTGTACTAATGGTACCTTCTGCCTTCTGTACTTCTGGTTTATCATCTTCATGCCATCCTTCGCGTTCATTTATCAAAACACCAGACGATAACGCCACCTTTGTAGCATGTGTAAGTTCTATCTTTGCGTTCTCCATAGCTGGTACTGATTGTGGTTTTACTTTGCCAGTGGATTCTTCACTTTCTATCTCAGTTACGAGCAGCGGCTCTAGTCCGCCATTTATTTTGGATTGTAATTTCAATTCTACAGGTTTTGTTTCAGTAAATGACCCTTCTTTCTCATGAGTACCAGTTTCATGGATGGATATAGCTTTCCTTTCTTCAAACCCTGTGGTAGCTTCCTTTGTCTGTGGTATATCAGGAACAGACAAATCCTGAACAGATGAAGAAGCACATACCTCCTCAGTTATAATGGGTTGCATACCCTCAACCATATCAGTTTTGGCAGTGGTAACAGGCAACTTGTCAGGAATATATACTACTTCACCTTGTTCCGTGTGAACTTCAGTAACAGATGGTGCATGGAAACCTTTAAGATCTACGGACGCAACTTCTTCTTTGGGAATAATAGGTTTGAAATCTTGAGTGCTATCCTGAACGTTACTTTGAGTCACATGCAGAGGGTGATGGCCAGGCAGTTGTTCTTCCGTTGCAGTGTGTGAAAACCTTGGAATTTCTTTAAACTCTCCTTCTTTGTAACTCACAGAAACCTCTGATACTTTCACAGACTTTTGTGGTATCAGTGATGCACTAGCCATATCTGAAGACGGTTTACTTTCTTTCAGATCTCTTATTGGTGACTGAGCCTTGGTTTCCCTGACTTCAAGGGAATATTCACTACATTCAACCTTCCCTTCCAACTTCACATCTGCTGGTTTGGTTGGCTGGAAGTCCATTTCCTTCTGGTGAGTCTGAGATTCGACAATTTCAAGTGCTTTTTGAGGAATAAAGCTCGTCTTTGCCGTCCCCGTAAGAAGAGCGGGTTCGCTTAGAATATCAACAGGTAACTGAACCTCAGTATCTGCAACTGTTAAGGGATGGTACGCATTTATGTCTAACCCATCAGCATATGCTTCCATTGGACGTTGGATTTTCAAGGGGGCTTCACTCTCTTGAATTTCTTTAGATGAAATAACTACAGAAGTATTCTTAGCATGAATAACCTCAGCATGTTCTTCCTTTGTCTCAGTCTTTGTTATCTCACGAACAGGAGATACAGCCTTCACTTCGGATACAGCTAAAGCTTCTCTTTTACCTTCCTTCTGAGTTGCATGTGCTTCCAACGGTTTATCCATTTTATATTCTTTAAATGAATCGTGTTGTTGAGTTTCCATAACACTTAGGGGCATGTTTTCCAAGATAGATGTTCTAGCTGTCTGTTCTTTGTCTACACGAGCTTTCCATGAAGCAGCATCCTCCTGTACATCATGACCCTGGATGGTAAGAGCTTGCAAGGGTTGGACTTCCGAGGACTTGCCTTGTAGTTGTAATGCTGTGGGCTGGATGAAAATATCCTCTTTGTCCGCTTTAAACGTTTCAGAAACTTGGATATGTCTAAGTTCTTGAACATTTGGTTTGGCCTTTTCTAATAAATCTGTATGCTTTTCCCACTGAACAGTATCTTCTTCCAACTTTGGCTCTGCAATTATCACAGCCTCTGATTCCTTTGTTACAGTTGTTTGTTTTGTGAAAGCTGTCTTGGGAGCCTTTGATTCATATGTTTCTTCTGCATCATGAACCAAAATTTCTTGTGTCAAGGCAGCATTTTGCCCAATGAGGCCACACTTCAGGTTCTCATAGACACGATCTGTCTTTTTCAGATCAGCTGTACTTTCATGAGCTACTTGTTCTGTAACTTCTAATGTATGTTGCATGTCTTGATCCAAAGCAGTGGCCTTTTCTGTTGATTTCATCATGTCAGACAGCTGAGACAAATACTCCTCACTTCGTTGGTCCGTCGTGGTCAAAGCTTGTAATGGTTCTAATTTTCCAATGGCTTTTTGTATTTCAGCTTTTTCCGTTTCAAACTGAGTACCTCCTTCCTTAGCATACACTTCAGATACCGAAATTGAATCATGTTCCATTACCATTAACATATGTTGAGCAGAATCTGCAGTTACTCTCTTTGGTCTCTCCAAGGGAGATGGTTGCTCCTCTGAAAGTCTCTCAATAACAGTAACGGAATCTCTTAAGTCCTTAGTTACAGTTGCTTTTACTTTTTCACTTTCTTCTCCCTGGAAAGTAACACAGGTATCAACAATCTTTGTGTCAGTTACTTGAATAGGTTCCAAGGGGACTAGTTCAGGTTCAATACTCTCCATTTTGAAAGGTATCTTTTCTCCCTGTCGCCAGGGTGTTGGCTGTTCCTCTGGTATTTTTTCAGTAATCGTCAGAGAATCTTTTAGCTCTTCAGTAACTGTTGCCTTTACTCGTTGACTTTCTTCAGTCTTAAGAGGAACATACGTGTCTTCCACTTTTGTATCAGTCACCTGAATTGGCTCTGAGGGAATTAATTCAGGTTTGATCCTCTCTGTTCTAAATGGTACTTTCTCCCCTTGTCGCCAAGGCATCGGTTGCTCCTCCGGTATCTTTTCAGTAACTGTTACAGAGTCTTTAAGCTCTTCTGTGACGGTAGCTTTCACCTGTTCTCCCTTTTCTGTCTCTAGGGTCACATAAGTGTCTTCCACTTTTGTATCAGTCACCTGAATTGGCTCTGAGGGAATTAATTCAGGTTTGATCCTCTCTGTTCTAAATGGTACTTTCTCCCCTTGTCGCCAAGGCATCGGTTGCTCCTCCGGTATCTTTTCAGTAACAGTTACAGAGTCTTTAAGCTCTTCTGTGACGGTAGCTTTCACCTGTTCTCCCTTTTCTGTCTCTAGGGTCACATAAGTGTCTTCCACTTTTGTATCAGTCACCTGAATTGGCTCTGAGGGAATTAATTCAGGTTTGATCCTCTCTGTTCTAAATGGTACTTTCTCCCCTTGTCGCCAAGGCATCGGTTGCTCCTCCGGTATCTTTTCAGTAACAGTTACAGAGTCTTTAAGCTCTTCTGTGACGGTAGCTTTCACCTGTTCTCCCTTTTCTGTCTCTAGGGTCACATAAGTGTCTTCCACTTTTGTATCAGTCACCTGAATTGGCTCTGAGGGAATTAATTCAGGTTTGATCCTCTCTGTTCTAAATGGTACTTTCTCCCCTTGTCGCCAAGGCATCGGTTGCTCCTCCGGTATCTTTTCAGTAACTGTTACAGAGTCTTTAAGCTCTTCTGTGACGGTAGCTTTCACCTGTTCTCCCTTTTCTGTCTCTAGGGTCACATAAGTGTCTTCCACTTTTGTATCAGTCACCTGAATTGGCTCTGAGGGAACTAATTCAGGTTTGATCCTCTCTGTTCTAAATGGTACTTTCTCCCCTTGTCGCCAAGGCGTCGGTTGCTCCTCCGGTATCTTTTCAGTAACAGTTACAGAGTCTTTAAGCTCTTCTGTGACGGTAGCTTTCACCTGTTCTCCCTTTTCTGTCTCTAGGGTCACATAAGTGTCTTCCACTTTTGTATGTATTACCTGGAGTGATTCTGAAGGAATTAATTCAGGTTTGATCCTCTCTGTTCTAAATGGTACTTTCTCCCCTTGTCGCCAAGGCGTCGGTTGCTCCTCCGGTATCTTTTCAGTAACTGTTACAGAGTCTTTAAGCTCTTCGGTAACAGTTGCCGTAACTTCCTCTCCTTTCTCTGGTGTCAAAGTAGTAAAGGAATCTTCAACTTTTGTGTCGGTTACTTGTATCGATTCAGAAGCAACTACGTCTGGTGTAATACTGATTTGTTTCTTAAGATGAATTTTTTCTCCTCTTACCCAAGGTGTTGGCTGTTCCTCTGTGTGACTTTCAATAATAGTTAAAGAATCTCTGACATCATCAGTTATAACTGCCTTTGCTTGTTCTTTTCTTGGTTCAATGTTTTCTAGGAGAGATGTGTGTTCTTCTGTCATTTCTGTAGCCTCGCTCAATTCTTTAGATGGAGTGGGAATGGACTCTGAGGATATAACCTCAGATTCTGTAGATGTCATGGAAGGCACAAGAGTGGATGTTACATTTTCGTCTTCATGAGTGTCATGTTGGTGTGTAGTGACATGTTCCTGGGTAATACTGGACACAGGGACAATAGGTTGGATAGCTTTTGAAGATATGGCCACCATGTTTGTGGAATCCCTCGATTCATTTTTGTGTTGAATTTGCAATGGAGTTGTAGGTGTCAAGTATGTCTGGGCCAGTGTTGTAGGTGCATCTATGGGGTGTAAGCCATCGCCTAACTTAACACGAGCCTCTTGCCTCTCCTCATCATCTTCTTCTTCTACTTTAATCGTACGAGACTTAATTACAGATTTTGAGGGTGATGGACCGACAAATGTAAGTGTTTCGGTAACAGAAGCTCTCTCATATTCAACTTTAGACTGTACAGCTTTACATTCTACAACCTGAGGAAGAGGCTCAAGCACGCATTCTGGGAAAATTTCAGCCAAATCTTTCTTATCCTGTGTAATCTTTTCGAGGCTAGGTTCCGTTTCGGTTGGTGATACGGGAACTATCTCTACGTCCTGTGGTGCTGAAATATCTAAAGAACCGCGATGGGTTGTTGGGAGTGTTACTTTACATTCGGTCGCGGGACTGTCCATCGTGTCATCAATCTCTACAATTTCCAGTTGTGGTTTAACGGTACTTTGTTCGATATCTTCTGTGCTAGATGTGATAATAACATTTTGCTGGGAAAGTACACCGTCTTTTATAAATACACTCTCATGTCTTTGTGTAATGCGGATACGGGGTGTGACACCTTCTTTTGGACTGTCTGAAAATACAATTGGAATACTAGACTCTGCAAAGCCTTTATTATCGACTGGCTCGATCGTATGTTGAGCCTTCATAGGCACTGTTTCATCTACAAATTCAATAATGCTCTCGTCCTTTGATTCGCCAAACTTTGGTTTCTGGAAACTTAAATCAGTCTGCATTTCATCTTCCTCTAATTCCTCAATCTGAATAGTAGACTTCTCATGAGAACTAGTATCAGATTCCACTTCTGGAGCATGTACAGTGGGGAGATTAAATGATGACTCAAAAACTTCCTTTGGTTCGATACTCATACCTAGAGTACTAGTTAGAGTTTCCTCTGGCATTCTGAAGCTCCCAGATTCTACACCAACGCCTACCATAACCTCATGTGTCAACCCATCGTCGTCAGTGTGTTCAATAATACGTTGTTTAACAGTTCTGAGAGAAATCTGACGTGCTGATATCTCTTGGCCTACGTTTTCGGAAACCACATCCTCCTTAGTACTAGTAGCATCCACAGGCTCAAGGCTACTTATTTTTTCTATCGGACGCTTACCCCTTTGATCTGGTGTAAATGTCATAGTCGATTTCTTTGTTTCAGTTTCTTCTGAAATTTCCCCCCACCCAGTGTGTTGTGTTGCCATCACAGCAGAGTGTTTCTGGGTTACATCAGTCTGTTCTGTGTCTTCCTTTACTTCACTGTACTGTACGTCCTCCGTCTTCGTTTCAGATTTTGTGGAGGTGACTGTGGTAGCCGGTCCTTCTGTCGGTATGCCTGTATGGGGTGGTACAGAGGTCTGGGTTATAGGAAGCATGCAGGAATCATCCAACGATGGGACAAGAGTGACAGGATGTGTAAGGGTTTTGTCCGATTCCGAGATAGATGAACTAGGCTGTTTGGGAGCGAGGTCTTCCTGTGATATCAGAGTAATCGGTTGGACAGTTGCACAACCAAGGTCAAAGTAAGGTTGAGATACTGGTGTTGCTTTCCCTACAATAGCAATTTCTGAAATAGGCTGTATGAGCTCTGTAGTTATATAATCTGGCTCATAGACAGATGAGGATGGAAATATGACAGTCAGACCTGTCTCTGATATAAGTGTTAAAGGTTGGATTGTTGCAAAACCTAAATCTGGAACAAATTGTATGGTTCCCTGCACTGTTTCTGGAATATGCCCAATGAATTCTTCTGTGGTTAATTCATGTTTATGGATGAAAGATGACGAGGGATATATAACAGTCTGCCCTACTTCAGACACGAGGATAAATGGCTGGATGGTCACATTGTCCAGTTCAGGAACACTTTGTGTGGTTGCGTGAGTTTTCTCTGGGATATATGGAGAGAATTCTTCTGTTGTGTGTTCTTGTTCATGGACAGACATAGGATACACTACAGTGTGGCCAGCTTCAGACACAAGGGTGAGTGGATGGACTGTCACATAGACCAGTTCAGGAACACTTTGTGTGGTTGCGTGAGTTTTCTCTGGGATATATGGGGAGAATTCTTCTGTTGTGTGTTCTTGTTCATGGACAGACATAGGATACACTACAGTGTGGCCAGCTTCAGACACAAGGGTGAGTGGATGGACTGTCACATAGTCCAGTTCAGGAACACTTTGTGTGGTTGCGTGAGTTTTCTCTGGGATATATGGAGAAATTCTTCTGTTGTGTGTTCTTGTTCATGGACAGACATAGGATACACTACAGTGGCAGCTTCAGACACAAGGGTGAGTGGATGGACTGTCACATAGTCCAGTTCAGGAACACTTTGTGTGGTTGCGTGAGTTTTCTCTGGGATATATGGGGAGAATTCTTCTGTTGTGTGTTCTTGTTCATGGACAGACATAGGATACACTACAGTGTGGCCAGCTTCAGACACAAGGGTGAGTGGATGGACTGTCACATAGTCCAGTTCAGGAACACTTTGTGTGGTTGCGTGAGTTTTCTCTGGGATATATGGAGAGAATTCTTCTGTTGTGTGTTCTTGTTCATGGACAGACATAGGATACACTACAGTGTGGCCAGCTTCAGACACAAGGGTGAGTGGATGGACTGTCACATAGACCAGTTCAGGAACACTTTGTGTGGTTGCATGAGTTTTCTCTGGGATATATGGGGAGAATTCTTCTGTTGTGTGTTCTTGTTCATGGACAGACATAGGATACACTACAGTGTGGCCAGCTTCAGACACAAGGGTGAGTGGATGGACTGTCACATAGTCCAGTTCAGGAACACTTTGTGTGGTTGCATGAGTTTTCTCTGGGATATATGGGGAGAATTCTTCTGTTGTGTGTTCTTGTTCATGGACAGACATAGGATACACTACAGTGTGGCCAGCTTCAGACACAAGGGTGAGTGGATGGACTGTCACATAGTCCAGTTCAGGAACACTTTGTGTGGTTGCATGAGTTTTCTCTGGGATATATGGAGAATTCTTCTGTTGTGTGTTCTTGTTCATGGACAGACATAGGATACACTACAGTGTGGCCAGCTTCAGACACAAGGGTGAGTGGATGGACTGTCACATAGTCAGTTCAGGAACACTTTGTGTGGTTGCGTGAGTTTTCTCTGGGATATATGGGGAGAATTCTTCTGTTGTGTGTTCTTGTTCATGGACAGACATAGGATACACTACAGTGTGGCCAGCTTCAGACACAAGGGTGAGTGGATGGACTGTCACATAGACCAGTTCAGGAACACTTTGTGTGGTTGCGTGAGTTTTCTCTGGGATATATGGAGAGAATTCTTCTGTTGTGTGTTCTTGTTCATGGACAGACATAGGATACACTACAGTGTGGCCAGCTTCAGACACAAGGGTGAGTGGATGGACTGTCACATAGACCAGTTCAGGAACACTTTGTGTGGTTGCGTGAGTTTTCTCTGGGATATATGGAGAGAATTCTTCTGTTGTGTGTTCTTGTTCATGGACAGACATAGGATACACTACAGTGTGGCCAGCTTCAGACACAAGGGTGAGTGGATGGACTGTCACATAGTCCAGTTCAGGAACACTTTGTGTGGTTGCGTGAGTTTTCTCTGGGATATATGGGGAGAATTCTTCTGTTGTGTGTTCTTGTTCATGGACAGACATAGGATACACTACAGTGTGGCCAGCTTCAGACACAAGGGTGAGTGGATGGACTGTCACATAGTCCAGTTCAGGAACACTTTGTGTGGTTGCATGAGCTTTTTCTGGAATGTGTACGGTGAAATCTTCTGCAGTAAGTTCGTGTTTGTGGACAGACACAGAGGGATATAGAATTTCCTGGCCTACTTCAGGTATACGTGCTGCTGTCAAAGTCGTTGCATAGCAAAGTTCTGGGACCGATTGTGATATGGCATATACTTTTTCAGGTATAGGTGTAAATAACTCTGTTGCTGTATGATACTTTTCTAGTGCAGACATGGACGGGAAAACAGTGGTGTAACCTGTTTCTGATACAAGTGTCAAGGGAAGAGTTGAAGCTAACTCCATGTCTGCAACAGATGCAATAGTTTGTGAGGCAGAGTCGCTTATATCTGTGACAGGTGTAATGTTCAAAATGGTGACCATGTCCATCTTTAAGACAGGTAATACATGCATCGTTGCGTGTAATAATTCATGTTTCATTGTGTGAGTCGATGGTTCCTGTCCTGTTATTGGTGTAGTGAGTTTTTCCTCTTCTGAAAAAAGATGTTTCGAAATAATCAGGACATGTGTGAGCTCTGAATTCTGTGTGTCATTAAATAAAACTGAAAGCATAGATTTGAATTGTGATGTAAGGTGAACTTCATGATTAAGATGCTTAACATTCTTAACCCATTCAGACAAATACATGTATTTTTTCTAAGTGCTAGTCCAACTAAGTAATGCAACGACTCTTTTATAGATATTAAAACTAATCACAATAAACTTCCCGATGTCCTATGTTAAGAGTTTAAGAAGTAAAGGCCAAGTTGATTATATCTGCCTTTTTAGATCTCAGTATGTGCCCAATTATGATCTTCTGATCTTCATATGCTATACAGTATAAGGTAAGGCGACCATATTTTGTATTTACCTGAGAGTAGAGCAATCCATAAACGGGGACAATTTGACTAATTGAGATTACGGTAACGTATTTCAAATTTATTCGCAAAGTAGACTTCTGGCAAAATATTGAGCAAAAATTGTAGGGCCGGACAAACATATCTGAGAAGAGGGTAAGTGGATGGACTGTCACATAGTCCAGTTCTGGAACATTA